GAAAGGAAGGTGGGGACGGCGGGGAGGGAAGGAGAGGGTGGCGGGGAGGTGTGATTTTGATAACTATTTTATTTTTCTATCTTAAAACGTTACAATTATCTAGCGAACATCAGTTTTTTGTATGATTAAATGTTAGTTTTGATTTTCCTGTGCTTAACTGGAGTCTTCGTGTTAGTATATTAACTGCCTTATTTCACCGAGGCTGGTAAATATACTATATATGTTCACGCTTGTGCCTACGCCATTTATGAACACCATTTTCCCAGAACACGAGGACTAATGCTATCATGAAAGGTTAAGAAAACTATTACTGCCCTAGATAAGACAAATGGCAGAGGCGATATCATCACTGCCTGCAAAATACTGTGGAACATAGGCTAACGAACATAGAGAACCTTATTTAAGTGAAATGGGCATCGCTGGAAACGGAAATGATTCAAAGAAACGTGGGGAAATTATCGCACCCTGTTCGGGTGATCAGCCAGCGAAATGCAATAAAAAAGTAGTCTCCATCCACAACTTCAAGAGCACATATATGACTTATAACCCGAACTGCAAAAGATCGAACAAGCTCACCTTAGTTGTATTGCAGGTAATGGTTGCTGCAGGTGACTGTAAAGCTGCCGCCCACTTAGGTGGGTGTGGACCACCATTAGTAGCGTATAATGGACTCACCGCAAATGTAAATTGCCTTCTATATTGTTGTAGGCCTCCTCTTGAGCCACTTGTGATATAAATAAAACTCTTGATGTGTATGTGTACTCACCTAGTATTTTACGGGGGGTTGAGCTTCGGCTTTTGGCCCCGACTCTCAATCAACCTGTATGTGTGTGTTTTACAAATTGTGTAAATAGCTTCACGAGTTTGCTACTTGCTTAATTAGCAAAATGAACTGCGGGTTCAATTCCTGAGCCTAAATGTGCCTCTGTAACCCTTTCCACCACAACCCACGGGATAGGGTGCATAATAAATGAGTAAACTAACTATGAGGCGGGGCTCAAGAGCCAAGCCTCACTCCTCATATTCTCTAATAAATCAGCAGTTAGGAATATATACAAACAGTTACCACTACAGAGCCTTGCGTAACAAAGCCGGCCTGTTTATCTTTGTTTATACCTCCTGGGGTAGACAATTCCTGCATCAGACACTACAATCATCACCATTCATCGTGTATTAAATATGGTGATGATCCCGCATGTACTAAGTTAAAAATTCAAAACCCTTATTCAGGAATTACTGGACATGTATAGCTTTTTTTTATTATTATAAAGGTGTAAAAATACTTCGTATTCCCAATTTTATTTTGAATGTAGACCAATAAATAAAAGTCAAGTTTGTCTATGTAACGAAAACAAATAATAATGGAGTAGATATGAACGGAATGGCCAAGGTATGTCAACTTTAATAATAATAATAAAATAGTGTATAGATTTACTTGGGACGGGTATATATATATACTGTATGTGCGATTTACCTAGTAAATCTATTACGATATACCCGGAAAAGTTCATAAAATATTTACCTTGAAAATATGTGACGACTAACATGTGATGCGTTTGTTCCTGCGGAGTGTACACAATCAATATATGCGAGTGATACACAATCAATATATGCTAGTGATCAATATCTCACACGGACGGTGATGCCGTGTGTGTGCGTGTGCATGTGCGCGTGTGTGTGTGTGTGTGTGTGTGTGTGTGTGTGTGTGTGTGTGTGTGTGTGTGTGTGTGTGTGTGTGTGTGTGTGTGTGTGTGTATGTGTGTGTGTGCGTGCGCGCGTGCGTGCGCGTGTGTGTGTGCGTGCGTGCGCGTGTATGTGTGCGTGCCCTCTCTCACACACGAATTTCCGGCGCTATCTTCTTAAATGTATACGAGTCTTCCATTCACAGTCGAATGGTTTCCTATCTACAATTGTGAAAATTATTTACAGAGTTGTTTCATAAATAAATTATAGGAAATTTCCACACACAAAACGGAAATGTCCCACGCAGAGCGTTGATTTATTTGATAAAATAGTTGGGTGTATTAATGTAGGAGTACCCCAAAGTTGTATAATGCTACCATTGTCAAGAATACTGGAAACGGGTGTGACATTTGTCAGTAGAGAAAATTATGTTTAGCAAATTTAATGGATGTAGATGATGCAGTTCTAGCAGCAAAGGATAGAAATATAGACAGATATAGTTGAATGTTATGTTGACGTACGTATATATATATATAAAAAGGGGTGCCCAAACTGAACGTGGACAAAGGTATAGTAATGATTTTCCTCCTTGAATGATGTAGCGGTAAAAGTGATAGATGATTGTGTGTGCAGGAGAGGCTGAGTGATGTCGGGGAAGTTAAGTTGCTGCTGTAGTTACGAAGACAAAGATGGGACGAGTGGTAGCTAGTACATTTTTTTTTTTAATTTTGTCCAGAGGAGCGAGTTTATTGGGCAGTGCTGTGTATTTGTGCTGAAACACCGCTCCTGTGCCGGGTAAGTCCACTACGGGCTCTTCATTGCCCATGCTACTTGCCCCGCTCCTGTGCCAGGTAAGTCCACTACGGGCTCACCATAGCCCGGAACTTACGTTTCGAGCAGCTGAATCTAAAACAACAACTGCTGAAATGGACAATCTGAGATGCATTTACGTTAGGAAGAGAGTACATAATACCGGAATAGAGTCCCGGCAATACAGTTGGGTTCGTTCTCGACGCACAAAAGAGAATTCCAGGTTCGAATCCCGGGTCGACAGAAATGGTTGGGTACATTTCCTTTCATCTAATGCCTCTCTTCACCTAGCAGTAACTAGGTACTCAGGAGTTAAGTCAGCTTGTTGTGGAGTTGCGGACGGGGTCAGTAATTAACCTTGTTTTTTTTTTTTGGGGGGGGGGGGGGGCTCGATAAATGCCAAACGTGTATGAATATACTCTGGCTACCTGTCCCCCGACACAGTGAATTATTATAATATTGGAAATACATATGGTTAGGTGTGGGGAGTAGCTTCGAGACGTGACATGGAATAAAGCAAGATGGAATCAGCCTTGTCAGGTGCGAAAGTTGAGTTATTAAATGGTAACTCACGAAAACCTGGTTGTATGATGAGTGGGATGTTGCTGTGCACGTATTGTCAGAGTGTGATGTTGCTGGACCTCCGTGATGTTGCAGTACTCTCCGAGAGTGACGGTGCTGGAATTTGCCTTTCTCTTGATTACTAGTTTCACTCTCTGGTGATGTAGAACAAATGTTCCATATCAACCAGAATTAAATGTACTGGGAGCAGTTTTCTGTTGCCTGGCTGTTCAGCAGGTATATTGTCCCAAGGGGAAGTACTCATGCTCTTCTTCATAGTTGGACATTTTTAATTCGGGTTCCGGCACTTGGATGTTAATTTCCCACCGGCAAGGGTATCGTAGTCTAGTGTGGTAGGCCTACATAGTGACTTCAGTCTGGCAGCATCTCAGGTAAATATGAGTCTTATGTTTGGTTGCGTTACAGTGCCACGCTGCAGTCTCAATGTCTGCCCCGCAATAAATTTGTAATCACAATTCTCGCTCGCTTCTTGATTTGTTCTAAACGTGTTGGTACATTAATATCTGTTGTTTGGTGGCCTTGGCAGCTCTAACAGCACAATCACTGCCACTGTAGTAAAAAACAAAAAGTGTTTTCTTACGCAGATGATCACAGTACTGTACTGTCTTTGAATTTAATGGAGCACCCCTCGGGCACAAGAAATTGGGTTATGTTATTTATCCTTTACTTACAGCTGTTAGTGGCTTTACAGCCCTGTGCGAGTGTGTGGATAACCACATATTTTGTGTAGGCATGTTGCAAGGGTATGGTTATAATTTTTTGTGGACACATTCCCTCATGAAAATCAAACGTAGGATGACCAAATCGATCCCTGGAGTCTGGGACTGTCCATAAGGAAGCTGGCTCTCCTTCCCAGGAGAAGCGCAGAACAAAGGGAAACATGATCGAAGTTTTTAAATGAATGAGAGGTATTAACAGGAGAGATGAGTAAGGTTTTGAAACAATTGGACCAGATCACAGCCTATAGCAATGGCTATAGACTGGAGATCAGATTCATGAAAGATATGGGAGAGTATTGGTTTGCCAGTAGAGTGGTAAACAAGAGGAATAGGTTGCGCACCAACATAACCCCGTAATGTTACTGGATTGAAAGCCTACTTGATAAGGTTAAATGTTTTTTCTATATTTGCCAGCTTCCCAAAAGCTGCTACCTCATTCAGCTCACATGAGTTTTCAGTGTTAGTGCCGAGATTATATAAACTCCCATGTCTATCTTAGTCTCCTTATTATGGTGCAGTTTCCTATATTACCTCTATCTCCCATTCCCAACACTTACAGTATTTGAATTCAATTCCAACAGCCATTAAACTGCCCACTCCTGAAATTCGTCAATGTCTTCCTGAGGTACTACAGTCCTCCTCAATAGTTTAGTATTATCTCCAAACATTGGCATTTATGAGCTTGTTTCAATCTGGTAAGTCATTAACATAATGTAGAAAAAGCAGCAGCCTACAGGACAGAGCTGAAGAGTCCCACTTTGCACTCTGCTCCAGCCTGAAGCTCTGAAGATCACATTTTCTTGAAGGAAGGAAAAGCTAATACGTATCAGGCAATACTGGTTTTGTTCCTTTGGCTTTGATACACAGCTGAGCACATAAGAATGAAGAACATGACCACTTAAAGGCCATCTACCAATCAAACAGAGTGGTAGATGGTTGGAACAAGTTAGGTAAGAAGGTGGTGGGGCCAAAACAGTCAGTAATTTCAAAGCGTTATATGACAAAGAATGCTGGGAAGACAGGACACCACGAGCATAGCTCTCATCATGTAACTACACTTAGGTAATTACAATGTTCATCAAAGCCAAATCTTTACATGAAAGAGAACACCTTTCAGAATATTATTAAACCATATATTTGTCTGTATCAGTTACTCAAAATGTGCACTTAATGTTTTCAGAAAAAAATTGGGGTAAAAATAATATATTTTAAAATATGATTTATATTAGTGGTAGTGTATTTTTTACCCAAATCTTACATTTTAAATACAGTATACCATAAAATTAATCTACAGTCACTTCAAACTTTAACAAAAAAAAACTACATTAAATAAAGAATTTTTTTTTTATTTTATTTTAATTAGTATCAAATTTATCTTTCCTTAAGATATAAATTACTGTATTAAAATTATACTGAATTATATGCACCAATCTTGATTTATATTAAAAGGTTAATTATGAGTTAGTTAATGATTCCTTGCTAAAGATTAACAATAATTTTATGAAACCTGCAAACTCAATTTTGTTGTTAAATAAAAAATATACTTGAATCCATCAGATACGATAAAGAAGTCTTAAAAAGAAACACAGAAGATACGATGGCAGGGAGAGCATGGTGAGGTCTCAAAATGGGTGATGCGCACACACATACATATAAGATAGCAAGGTGTAGGTTCAGAGAAAACATGTTTGTGGTCCAGGTTTAACATGAGGTGACATGAACACATGTGGAGGACCTTATATTTTATAGCAGTACCGTATATGCTTCACCACAATATACCAAGTGTGGAGAGCAAGGTATATTGATTTAAACAGTGGCTCAGCTGCAGGCCTGGCAATGTGAATAAACTTGGACAATGACTTAAAATGAGAACTCTAATTGGTTTGTTTCCTCACATGATTGTGAAGTACAGCTTTGTATTCTGTAAAAACAACATATGTATATAGTCAAGCAATACAAATCTGAAAACACTATAATTTTTTGTTCTCTCTGTGGCACATTTGGATACTTAAAATTTCCCCCCCCACCTTTGTCCATGAACCACCCATCCCAAATAAGTTGTCCTTGATTGAACTGTTAATTTCCCTAAGAATTTGATATTATGTACAGTATTCATGACTCCCTTAGCCCTGTCTTCCAATCATATGAGGTTTAAATCTTTTGTTTAACTTCTCCTTCTGGAAAGGGAGAAACAATTGGTCACAGACCTTTAACTGTTTACCCATGGTCACCCATCAGTAATAGGGGATCTGGTTGTACAGCTGTAATCCAGTTGGTAGAACATGTTCTATTTCTACTATGCACGACAACTGGTAAGTTGGGTGAAGCCATTATGAAGTCCGTCCAGTAATTAGATGAGTGACTATGACAACAGCTTCGTGCTTGACTAAGGGGACCTCCATTAGCCTAACAGACTTTCTGTACCCAATAATGATACTGTATATGTATAATGATCAACACTTTGAAAGTATATTAACAGACTAAAGTAATAACTTTCCCATTTATGTAATTTAACGAACGTAACACACTAAAGTAATAACTTTCCTATTTATGTAATTTAACAAATAAATCATATCAAATGTAGCACATTACAAATTCACTACTGTACAGTATTTAGTAAACAAAATAACATGCCAAGTTTGCCTCGCATAGTGGAGGTTTACAGGTACAGTATATAGAACCAATAATAATGAATGAAAACACTCACACCTGTATATTTATGTCACGATTTGAACTACACCAAGTCTTTCACACCTCTCCAGAGTGCATTATCAAGGTCTGAATATACGGTTTGGACGAGACATGCAAGTCTCGTCCTAACCATATACTGTACTCAGACCTTAATAATACACTCAGTAGAGTGCAAAAGACTAGTTGTAGTTCAAACCTTTACATAAAATACATCAATACATAAGCGTGTTTTTTTTTTGTCGTATGTTATGTCTGCAGTAAGACATTACCCATACTTACCAATAATCTTTGCAAATGGGCATAACCCCCAATCAATTTAAGACTGAATGCTTGGCTATAAATAAATATGAATGTGTGCTTATGTGGAGAAAAATATAAGACCTTTATTGTAATTCTGCATTGCAATGAAACCAAAAAATTATATGATATATGCACTAGTCTTCAAGACAACAAATATGTTGAGCCAATGACAAAACTAATATGCTTTTATCATTAAAGAACAAACATCTACACTACCACAAGTTAACACCACAGGATGCACATCTCAATTAAATACAAAGATACAAAATTAAATTAGATTAAATAACAATGAAAAAATTGCTTCTCAATAATAAAAAATAAAAAGTTGGATGAGAATTTAGTTAACGAAAACAAAAATCTGAATTATTACGTTCCAAACTAAGACTGTGGCATCATTGCATGTGCAAGGGTGACTGATGCCACCCGGCCAAAGCAGTGCAGGAAGTAGGACAGTACTAGGAATCTCGGAAGAATGCATTCTGTTGCAATAAGAACAGTTTAGCGTTATAAATTACTGGGTTAATTGCTTGACTTAAATCAGAGACATACCAACACTCAGTATTTAAGATCTGTGTTCTTAAACACCAGACACAATTACAGTACTGTGTCATCCTTGCTTTCAAGAATGTCCAAAAACCCAGTAAAACACTCAAAAGACAAAGTACATTTACAAGAAAATATTAAATTCAATTCTTGTAATTATCTCACTTTGTCCCTGCAATTGGTTAAACAGTACAGTATATAGAAAATGTCAATATTTTTTACATTACAAGAACAATTAATATATTTGGCTAATAGAGCATACAATATTTGTTTATGTGTACATGCCTGCATGCATATATATGTATGTATATATACACGTGTGTGTGTGATTTTGTGTATGTAATGGAACAATATTCAACAGTTATGCGGCATGTTAACAGTTATGTGGCATGTTAATCTTCGAGCGTAACATTGCGGAAGAGGTAACTCATGCTCTCATTGTTGTGGATGCGACGGATAGACTCTGCCAAGAGAATGCTAATGTCCACCGTCTTGATCTTATGACACTGCATCTTCTGAATTTCATGGGGCACCGTGTTGGTCACAACCACCTGGATGGCAGCAGACAGGACATTGTGTCAGATAAAGTGATGGCAAGAGGAGGAGCTACATTTTATTTGATTGTAATCAGGAATTTAATTGTCACCATATACAGTATATACACAATACAGTATACTGTATTCATAGTCTGAGGTTAGCACTCCTTTGTATCATCATGAAAAGTCACGCACACTACAGTATAAACATTTGGATAAAAGTAATTGTATTGTAATTAAATTCTGAGGCCTTGAGGGGAAAGGAAGGGGAGGGAAGGGATGGGAAGGGAAGGAGAGGAAATGAAAAAGGAGGGAAAGAGTGTGGAGATAAGAGGGAAAGAGGGAAGGGGTACTGCAGAACACACTACTTCCAGATCTAGCCACCAGATCTCATTTATAACTTGTGATGTTATACAAGTTAATATTTTCATACAACTGATTGTGACTAATCATTGAAAAGGATAGCTAACTGAAGCATATATATTTATATGGAAAGGAAAATACCTTTCCTTTATATAAAATAAATAGGATATTAAATAATAGGATCTTAAAGATATTATTAATAGGAACATTATCCCTACAGACAAAAATCAGAAAATACAATTGACAATTTACTACAAAAACAAAAAAACGGCCAAACTACTCATGAAAAACTCCCCAGACACCAAACAGAATGCCTTGAAGGAAACCAACGTCATCTATGCCTTCATATGCCCACTTGGGGGACTGTAAGCCCCAAAGAACTCGGCATATAAGCAAGACAACAACGTCTCTTTCTTGGCAATTAACAATGCAAAAACAACAGGACTCCATCAAGGAACATATAATCTCTTCTCACAACCAGACCATCACCAGAGAAATCTTAACAAACAACACAGAAATCATCGATAGATACAGCGATAGCAGGAGACTCGACATCAGCGAGGCACTACACATCAAAAAGTCAATGCCAGCAATCAACAGCCAATTAACATATACTGTAACTATATTCTACCCACTTCAAGACCCCGAACCAACATAGGAGCAGCAAGAGAAAGTATGGGCCAATAGCCCTTCTGCAGTTACTTTCATTCTTATGCCTTTCATACCCAATTAATACCCACCTCACCCAAAACATTTGTCATATCACCTCATCCAAAACAAATAAAAAGCATGATGTATGTTATGTGTAAACCAAGTCTTTGAAAATGTAAGAAGCCTTACGAAACGCTTCTAAGCGTCAGACCAAAAATAAAAATGTAAAAAATGAATTTTGGCGAGTTCATTTTTCAATTACCCTCAACAGTGAAGAGAAACGTAAGAAATATTGAGAAGATTCATATTAGAATTACTAATTTTACCCTTTCGGTCATATTCAACAATGTACGTATATACATACATACACATATATATATATATGCATATATGCATGCCATTTATGGACTTTGAAAGAGAGTATAACAAAGCTAATACAGGAGGACCTTGGAGAACGATGATCAGGTATTGAGTTAGCAGTGCTGTTAAACGCTCTGAAAAGTTTCCATGCAAAGTAGCAGTCCACATGTATGGGTTAATGGTATACATAGTCACTGGAATGATAAAGTACAAATCCGTGCATCATCAAACATAAGTGTTGGACTTTCTAAGCATATCTCATAGCACCCCACCATTCCCAGCAGCATCCAGTACCTACCTCATCAATGGGGGAATCATCAATGAGCCTTGGGGCATCAGATGAAAGCAAACCATGTGTAGCCATTACATATATTTTGTATGCTCCTCGGTCTTTCAATACCTCTGCTGCTGCTACAAAGGATGCAACATCATCAATCATGTCATCCTGAAAAGTAGAAAAGCATTAACTTACCTATTACACAATTCTCAAAATCCTCTCTCTCTCTATGTCATGACAAAATTATTAATAAAATGCAATTTGCAAGTCAGCCAAGCAGAAATTTTCTTCGGCAATTTAAAGGTAGCAGTGTATGAATTCCAGATATAAGAAGATTGTATTGTATAAGAAAGACTGCTGTCATTATCTGACTAGGTACTTGTGAACCAAATGGTTTTATAAGAAACTGATTTGTATGCTGTTATACAGGAGACATTAGCTTCCACAAATGCTAACTGAACTTGAGACTATATGGCTGCTAAGGATCTTAATAATAGGATCAGCTGGCAGTGTGATAACTGCCCCACCAGCTGTTCTCATGCACACAAGTATCCCTAATAAACATTCCTTGTAATACAATATAGACCACGTGAGAAGTGTAGACTTCATCATGGGCTCAGAGATCCAAGCTAGCCAATGGCCTCTACCATTGTCCTTATCAACACTTGGTCACCTTATACCACTTCTGTTTGTAACTCAAGACTAAAGATTGTGCCCAAGATGGGCTGAAGATAACTTGGGTCAGGTCTGTGTGACTTTCAAAGATCCACTAACACTTGAAGGGTGTATAAGGTGTATAAGGGTGTATAAGGACTATGTATAAGGTGTTAAGGTTAACTAGAATCACAGGTTAACTCAAGAGGAAGGCCACAGGTACTGAAATAATATATTGCTTTATATGTATTATTTCTTAATTTAAACTTGTTTAGTCTTCACCATAATGCTCATTACTACCTAGAATATTACTATGACATACTTAAGAGAAAATACTTTGACAAAGCTTAGAGACAATCAGAGCTAAAGATTTTTTATTTGATCCATCTAATAAGGATAGCACTATAGAAGACATACACAGTACATATCTATAATTGCGATCCTAATAACTTAAGAATATTTGCTAGGCGTACTAGAACTGTATTACACACAGAACAGTATGTTAAGAGTTACTTGCAAATACTGAGAGGGAAGCTGCAAAGTGATGGCTCACTCTTTAGACTTTTACACTTACAGTTTGTTGACTGAACTGAAGGATGTGTGTTTCTAGCTTGCAAAAGTGTGGTGAGACACAGCAATGAGACACATTAAGTTCTCAAATGGAACACACACAGCATTAACTCACCAGCATAACACCACGAGCTCAGTCTTTCAAGTGCAGTAAGTGTATTTAGGCAAGTACACTTAAGAAAGTACATATAGCCATCAGCTGACTACAGATAAAAGAGCAGCAAGTTTACCAAAGTCATTGGAAACATTAGATATACAGTATTTAAGAACGTGAAGGGACGACGACGTTTCGGTTCGTCCTGGACCATTCTCAATCGACTTAAGAATGGTCCAGGACGGACCAAAACGTCGTCGTCCCTTCACCTTCTAGTGTGTGGTCTGGTCAACATTCTTCAGCCACGTTATTGTGACTCATCGCCTACAGTATTTAAGATTCATGAAAAGCAAATGAGATACCATGAACACAGCTCTAGTCCTGTAATTTCAAATACAGTCGGTAATCACACGCTAACGTTGACGACTCCAGTTGAATGATATACCCACTTACCACCATGATAGCAATGCGGCCTCCCACATCCCCGACCACATTAATTGGAGGCTTTTCCTTGGCAGCTAAGGCAGGCACTCCGACACCCACGTCCATGATACGTGAGTGCTCCACTAGTGGCGGGGAATTACGGCCATCAGCCTGCTCATCCTCGTTGGTCTTCTGCTCCCCGTGGATGACTGCAATTCCTACAATCCAGGAAAAAATCAGCAGTACTGTAGTTATGATGGAAGCATTAGAAGTGGTGCTAATGAAAGCAGGATTGTGGGAAACGAGGAGAACCGGTGGTGGTGTAGTTACAAAGGTAATCCAGAGCTATGGTGCCATACATGTAATCCCAAGCTATGGTGCTACACATGTAATCCCAAACTATGGTGCCACACATAATTCTGAGCTGTAGTGCCCCACAGATAATCCCAAGCTATAGTGCTACACAGGTAATCAAAAGCTATGGTGCTACACAGATAATCCCAAGCTATAGTGCTACACAGGTAATCAAAAGCTATAGTGCTACACAGGTAATCACAAACTATGGTGTTACACAGATAATCCCAAGCAAAGGTGTCTGAACTTTCATCCGTACACTAAGCTTTTGAAAAAGGGCACTGTATCAATTTGTCACCTTATGTCAGTTAGCGGAAAGATCTACAACTCTGCAAGCATGCTCTACGCACACAGCTTGCAAATAAAAAAACGCTTCATAATTACACTGCATGTGATCAATATGTCTCCTCAGACCTGGAATACTAATGAATACTACATGCACAGCTATGGGGGGACAGACATGTAGTGCACACTTACATACGCAGTTTAAATACTGTATCTCAATGAAGTAAGTGTGTTCAGATACAACTATGCAATTCTTGCCACTTTTATAAAAAATAAATACTGTAATTACCCAGAAATGCTATATAGATGTACAGCAAACAATTTAAATTATGGAATTACTTTACTAGTACCCAATTATCTGAACTCGAATTTGAAAAAAAAAACATTATTATGTATATAAAAAATAAGATCACTGCATGGAGTTAAATTATGTTAAAATATTTACTATTCACTGAGTTTAATGAATGTTATAGATTAAGTTGCATTGTACATACAGAGTTAATAACAGTATTGGCAAGAATGCAATAGTAACAAATTATCGAATATAATTTTAATATCAAACTACTTGCTGTACAAGAAGAAAATTACATTAAAACAAAAAATTAAAGCTCCTTTTATATATAATACTGCACACAATCCATATTCATACATACTGTATTAAAAAGTTACACAATACATGTATTAAAATTATGAAAAGTATTGTACACAGAATAAAGATGCAAATACAGTGTAATCTCGGTTTAGTTTGCTTTTAAAACAAGGAACGAGGCAGCTAGTTACAGAGACGGCAGGCGCACCATGAGCAGTGCAGAGGACACGACAACCACAGGAAAGTTGCAAGCAGTTCTTGGCATTTCCCAATTGCTTTGCGCACAACACAAGTTACTGCCAATAGTGAGAATACTAGTATCACTGAGATCACCATCAGAGATCACTACAATTACTGAGGCCACCATCAGAGATCACTACAATTACTGAGGTCACTACTATCACTAAGATCAAAATCACCATCACTAAGGTCATCACAGCTGAGGGAACATTCATCATTAATGTCGCCGTCATAGATGAAGTCAGTCATCATTGCGTTGCTATTACTAAAGCCATTATCATCATTGAAATCACTGTTACACTTAAATTACCAACATCACTGTCACCAAGGTCAGAGTCTTCACCAAAATTCACAGCCATAAATGAAGTCACGGCAACTAAAGTCAATGTACAGTAATCATATCACCAGAATCACTCATTATCTTTCAAGTCACAGTAAGGGCAAAGGAACTAACCTCTCACAAACTGCTTCCTATGCCATTAAAGTCACAAATATATGATAGCACGTCCAACAAATTTTGGCATTGCATTTTTTATGGAAAGCTATTTTCTAAACAGAACAGCACATGTTTTCTCTCAAAGATATAATCCACTGTGGCTATTTACCACGATCGTTAAGTTTAACATGACATCTTACATTTGTGCCACAGGAAATGCTTCAAAAGGTCCCTGCAGGGCCTTATCAATGCCTGGAACAAAGCTAAACACACAGGGCAAGCACGGCAACAAGAATATCACATGCGAGATGATCCAATTACAACGCTGTATTGGAACTCATTTAAGTAAGAAGCTACCGGTAGTATCATCTTCAAAGGCCTTACTTTGTGGCTATCAAGTGGTGGCTTCAAGTTACTGATCCGGGGGCTCAGTCTACGACCATGCCACTTGGTTGATGGCTTAGTTAATACAATTGTTGGGGCTTGCACAGCTCACAATCCAAATGACACAATATCGCCAGTAATCAGGTATTGTTTACTGGTGTTCAGCGCGTTACACTACTTCTAATACAACTAGGGGTGTCAGTAATTACTCTTATATTTAGAGGTGTATTTATTGCAGCCCTGCATTTTAAAGGGGCTATTTTTCAAATTCTACCAAGCCTCTTACTCTTGGTCTTGAAGGAATTACGTTAACATGCAGATTTACAACCAGGCAAGATAGATGGATAGATAGATAGATAGAAAAATATATATATATATTTATTTATTACACACACACACACTTTACAATATATAGTATATCTATACGTATCTAGATTGCCTTCCAGAGAATACAAATTAAGGCATATTATGCATTCCTAAGTGGAACCTCAGTTGACAACTGCTCAAGAACACAAATTTTTTGGTATAAGACGTCAAATTCATTGAAAAATTTGAATTGGTGTACGATGGTTTACTTGGAAGACGATGTACGGTATGTTCGTACACGTATGAGTCAAATGAACACGTGGTGCTGGGGGCGCAGGATGAAGCACTTTCAGTTTGTTTATAAGCCTATCCCACATAATGACGACCGCGGCCGCGTTTTAAATCTTTGTGAAGAATTTCATTGTTTGCCTGCTTTTTTTGTGTTTTTTTTCACATAAAAGTTCTTATTATATATCACACCATGGGTCCCAAGAAAGTAAATTGTAACGTTCAACCTAAGAAAATAGTTGTGAGGATGACCATAGAGTAAAAACAAATGATCATTCGCAAACATGAAAATGGTATGAGGGTTGTTGATGGAGAGTAGAGGATGCCCCTTCCTCATTTACGTATTAAGAAAATGTGTGCAGTATGGGAAGAATTGCAAAGTTTTGCTGAAGTGTCACCCAAATCAAGCTGTAGCAGGCCGTTGTGTTAACCTTTTTAATGACAATGTGATGTCTCACTTGAGCCAAGTGTTGCAACGTAGGGAAAAACAAGTGTCACTAGACAAGTTTTTTGTGAGAAAAACAAGCGGTGAGCCACAAGCAGGTCCCAGTGGTATGCAGGCAAAATGTAGGAAAGAGTGCACCCCAGAAAAGTCATCACAGCCTGATGTTATAATGGAAGGGGACTTCCCTTCCAAACAGTAACGCCTCTCCTCCTCACCGTCTTCCGTATGCCAACAAGAGTCCTCATTCAAGGTAAGATATACATACTGTATTGTAGCTAGTACAAAATGAGTTATTCAGTATAAGATGTATTTTTAAGTTAATATTTTTTGGGGTGTAGAACGGATTAATTCAATTTATAATATTTCTTATGGGAAAATTCGTTTTTGTTGACAAATTTTTGGTTGATGACGTGTCTCTGGGAACAGATTACGATTGTAAATGAAGGTACCATTGTAGCTATTTTATTTTTAGGATATAGCAGTAAATGTTGTCTGTGCAATACACAAGCTTTTAGCTGACCTTAGATGAAACAGGTAACATGCAGCAATATTGTGCCCTAGTAAGTACTAGGAGTACTAGTGTCTTAAATGTTGATATGTAAATTTTTCTAGTACCTGTAGTAATGACAGTTACTTGACTGTCTTTTTAAGAAGTAAGATTTTCTGACTTGGTTACTCTAGGGTCTTTTACATTTTCATTCTATTCCATGCTTTAATTAATTAATGTTTTCCATAGTGCACGAGTTGGAATTTTTAATAAATGAAAATAATTTATAGTTGTCTGCTTCTTATTGGAATACTGTACATTTTTTTTTTTAACTCAAGTTGGAAGGCTTGTTGTGTCCTCTGCTACTCTTATAGATCCTAGTGTAGTCCACAACCACTTCTATCCCACCTGGGAATCGAAACCCAGGATCCCCAACTGCGCATTGAGAACGAAGAGATTAAATACAGTACATTATTAGTACTATGATGCCCTGGAAGAAAAGCAAAATTTTGACATAATATATACAGACTTCACAAAAACCCTCAACTAATATGATCATGGTATAAGTGCATGTAAAATTCCTTTCACCTAATGCCTTTGTTTACCTAGCAGTAAATATGCATCAGGGAACTAGGTAACTGTTATGGGGTTGCATCCTGGAGAGGGTTGGTAGTTCCACCTTGGGGAACTTTGATACAAGCCTGAAGTATATATACACACAGGCTTCCTGTCCTCGACAAAACAAATGATTAAATGATAGAAAATCCAGAAACTGTGAAAGGCATGAGCAGCCTGCTTTAAACCCATGTTGCTGAATTCCTTAAAGTAAGAGTAATAGCTGTGTTCAACGACAATGTTTTCCTGCCAAATTCTTACTACTGTGCTCATAAGTTTCCTAGCTTCTTTGATAAAAAGCGTAATGAATAATTTGTTACTTATGAATCAACCCGCAAACACAACAAACGAGTAACAGCTTATAACGTACTTGCTCAAGCCCCATCTTACATAGTTCCTATTTATGATTTTTATGCAAACTTTAGGGATATAGAGTACAAAACTATCAACTCTACAACCTATCATAGGTATATCCAAAGCTTTCATTAACAGGTTTAATCCCAAGGTCAGACATGTGAAGCAGTGACAAGGCCTTCAGTAAATGTTACTTTATTTTTTATTGTCAAGACGGAACTAGCTTTCCATGATGCTACCGAGCACAGAAGACCAGGTGATACACAATATCTTCAACCTGTATGTTTTGAGGTATAAAATAAGTATTATACTGGTATTTTTTGCCCCAATAAATTAACCTTAAAATAAAAACCAGGTATAAGGTTAAGAACTGTAACAGTTGGTAAACTGTATTAATCCATTTAGTAGAGGCCACCCCCATTCACACAACTTGGAGAAGTCACACACACACACTCCGCTCATTCCATACACTATTGTATGGTCACCTTACCTGCCATATCAACATCAAAAAGTTATACAAAACATAAAACTTTAAAACAAACCTAAATATTTCTGTATTTTACTCAAATTATGACAACTTTAATAGGTTCGATTTGATGCAGTTACTGTACAGACCAGGGCGCCTGACAGCTGGGTGGACAGAGCTTCGGATTCGCAGTCCTGAAGTTCCGGGTTCGATCCCCAGTGGAGGTGGAGACAAATGGGCAAAAATGTCTCTTTCACCCTGATGCCCCTGTAACCTAGCAGTAAATAGGTACCTGGGAGTTAGATAGCTGCTACAGGCTGCTTCCTGGGGGGTGTGTGTAACAAAAAGGAGGCCTGGTCGAGGACTGGGCTGCGGGAACGCTAAGCTCCGAAATCATCTGAAGATAACCTCAAGATAACCAATCTCATAACCATTATGCATTCTCCTTCATTTGTTATGCTGTTCAACTATCTCTATTTGTTATAAAAAACACTGCATTTCCAAGTTAATTATAGCACCTAGCATTACAGAACCTAAATTTTATTCCAATAATATGAATAGGTTGATTAGGTTCATAAACAAACATATTCAGCATAATCAATGCAGTTAACAGTGTGAGAGTTTTACCTGTCTCTTTTTGTGTGAGAACACAACAATGCCGAGTTCTAAAAGTGTTCACCAATAGTATTTACAGTTAATCTTTAAACAGCTCAGCAAATTAGAAGTCCTACATTGTGGTGGGCATAAAAAACTTTTTTTTTGGTGATACGAGCACAGTAGATAATTGCAGTTAGCAATTGGGGCCCTTCAAGGGTTAAGAAACAGGTCTACACACTAGCAGTGATGGAACATAATTACGTAGCACTCCATATCTGTATGCTAACCATTGTCTCAGAATATACCTAACACCAATCAACACTTCTTAAAAGTTAAAACTTAGAACACTAAATACAATATAAGCAATTCAATCTTCAAAATTCAGTTCACATGATTCATATTATTATTTAGTTCTATTTTTTATAGAAATTATCTATAAAATCAGATTCAATGCTCATTGCAAAAGTTGTGTGTGCAAGTCACACTAAGAGTGCCTATAGGCACAAGTATGAGTTGCTCATGGCCGCAGTACAAACAAGAGCAACACCAATTGTATTGGGAGCCAGTCGGCCGAGCGGACAGCACACTGGACTTGTGATCCTGTGGTCCCGGGCGCCGGCAAGAAACAATGGGCAGAGTTTCTTTCACCCTATGCCCCTGTTACCTAGCAGTAAAATAGGTACCTGGGTGTTAGCCAGCTGTCACGGGCTGCTTCCTGGGAGTGGAGGCCTGGTCGAGGACCGGGCCGCGGGGACACTAAAAAGCCCCAAAATCATCTCAAGATAACCTCAAGAAATTCCAAGACTAATGTGTTCTGTTTCAAATACCATTTGACTGGTGAAATGATTTCAGGAGGATGCCAGAAAACTATTTTATAGTTTAATTTCTTTTTATTTCCACCATTTTTGAGACACACTAAGGTGATATTTATGTTTACTTTTACTGATCATTTACTTAGGCTGCAAATAATATCATCAAAAGCTTGCTTCATTTTATGACACTATTAATGATGAATATTTAGTAGTCTAACGATTGTTTCAAGTTGTCTTGGCTAGTAACGTTATATATACCAAGAATGTCTTTCACAAGGTTTGCACTGAAGATAAGCTGCTACTCTGTGTTGATAAACAAAAAACAGCTGGAATACAGATGTACATAAAATACAATAGACCAACTTTGTGAGAAATTCAAGCAATAAAGCTACGCACGAACCAATGAACAACAAAAAACATGGAAAACATCTGGTGCTAGAAGCCTGTAAAAGTCTTTCATACTCACCATTTCCTACAGGAGGTCGTGGGAGAGGGAAAGAGACGGAATATTTAAATTCATCATCATAAAATGCTTCCACTGCATTATCACATCTAAACGGTACTAGTCACATGACAGAGCATCTTCCTACCTATATGGAATCATTTCAGACAGCTTTCTGATGATCATACGACATTCTCTTTTCAATATCATTATCTGTACATATAACTCAATTCCTATCTAAATGTGAGAGAGCAAACCAAGACCTCACAGCATCCATACACAATAAACATCAGCCAAGTGTACCTATTTTCTTGCTAATATAGACAGTGATTTCCCTTGTTGGCACTACACCACACATGCACATGTTTTAACTCACGCCCGTACCAGTCATACATTCTCTAAATCAAAAACTCATAAGGCTGAGACAAATTACTTTGGTTCATAGACACCTTTAACACTTCCCAATAAAGGTGTATCATCGTCCCTGGCTGTATCTACTACAATACACCTGACAACTCTAAATGTATTTGCTGATTCCATTAAACTTGTATGTTGCCAAACATTTTTCCCCATCATGAATGGTTTAATTATTTATGTAACCCGAATCTTCTTCCTGATAAATTTGTATAATTTTCTGGATGATTACCTTTGCAACCTCATGAAAGTGTCCGAAAAGAAAATCCCTGGAAACTCCCAGAAAGACTTATGGTTCTGTGGAATACATGAAAACTAAGTTTTATTTTACACTTTTCCTTATTTATTTCCATATTACCAACACCTGAGTTGTCTTTCATTAACTAAACATGAGAGGAGTGATCAAATATACAGTGCTATGTTGTACAGCATAATTCTCTCAACCTTCTTCTCTAGCCAAGTCAACTAATTCTAGCTGGTCTAAATCTATTCATTCTGCAAAGTTTCCCCTAGATATAGTTTGAAATATATATAGTTTGAAAGTAGCCAATCAAGGAATATATCCCTGGTCCTAATGCCAGGTATATCTCACAATACAAATATTATGAATATTCTAAAAAACTGCCCCCACCCAACTTCCTATACATACATATATAGTACAAACATATTAAACCAGATAAAAAAGGTGTAGCTGATATTTGTGAAAATACAGTAGGTGCTATCGGCTTCAAGTCTAATACTTATCTCAAGATACGATATCAGAATCAAGAAACAACAACAACAAAAATACCTTTGGTGCTACTTTGCCCAGTTCCAATTTTTTTTTTTAGCTCAAACTAAAGTACATAAAGTTTCAAGTTGATACAATTAGGATTTTTCAAAATATAGAATGAAAACTTATCAGAAGCAAAATGAAACGAAATTAGAGACAATAAACAATTCTAATTCGGGATACCAAACTACCTCACCATACCCAATTCTAAACCACACATCCATTCAGTCTGCCTCTGATATATTGATTTTCTTGTCTTCCTTATCTTCATGGCTACAAATACAGTCAAGCTATTGCCTAATTCTACCCAGGACACGGCACTTGTCGTGAGCACCCTCAGTGTCTGCCTTCCTACCACCACTCACTCATTCAACTTTTGCCACTCAGACAAGGGAACATTTAGTGATTCTTCATGAAATAAAGATGGAGCCAGCTAATCATCATTTGGAATACAAAAAATTTATCACTGATAATATTATGTTTATTTAATATACTGAATCAACTTATTTAAATTTTATGCAACAGATGAAGATGTGTTGAAGATTGTCAAAGAGCTATTCTAATTTTTTTTAAAGATTACTGAAATTGATATAAAAAGTTTGAAATTAAGTTCACATACTAAACATATGCAGTACAGTATTAACAAATATCAAATATATATATATATATATGCTAAAACAGGTTTGACCACAATTACAACGTTTATGGGATGTTTTGGGCGAGATGGCAGAATTGTAAGCAGTCTGATGCATGCATATCATCAATAAATAGACATATGTGCTGAATGGACACACAGGCCTGTGCAGCATACACACATCAGAACTATGCCGTGCACACCGGACAGAAGAGTAAGGGGAGACATGATAACCATCTACAAAATTCTCAGGGGAATTGACAGGGTGGACAAAGACAAACACTTCAGCACGGGTGGAACACGAACAAGGGGACACAGGTGGAAACTTAGTACCCAGATGAGCCACAGAGACGTTAGAAAGAATTTTTTCAGTGTCAATAGTTAATAAATGGAATGCACTAGGCAGTGATGTGGTGGAGGCTGACTCTATACACAGTTTCAAATGTAGATATGATAGAGCCCAGTAGGCTCAGGAATCTGTACACCAGTTGATTAACAGTTGAGAGGCGGGACCAAAGAGACAAAGCTCAACCCCCGCAAGCACAATTAGGTGAGTACCGGCCTGTGCAACACACACACACACACACAGATCTATGCAGCACACACACATCAGACCTAGCTCTCAGACAAACAACACAAAAGAAACACAAAAGTTTCTTTTGTATAATCTTACTCCAGTCCCCAGCTATATATAGTACAGTTAAACATGATCAACTACACAACACAATAACAGAACACGGGAAAAATACCAAGAATAACATCTGTGAATCTGCAATGGCGATGAGAAATATTACAACTGCAATCACAGACATTACAACTGCAGTCAGAGACATTACAACTGCAGTCAGAGATACCAGTACCATAGTACTACAATTAGCAGAGATATTTCTAATGTAGACAATGAAAGATTTAACCAAGTTTATCTTTGCATCTACCTGCCTATACTGTATATCTAATTACTGTATAATAAGGAAGATCACATTAGCTATCAGCAAAACCCATGCACAAGCCACAAAAGTGTTTATGCTAATCCCAAACTCAAGAAAGTAGAGTTCACATAATAAGATGTGAAGGGAGGAATAAAAATGCAATAAGAAGCCCATACATTATCAGCTAAATTAATAGCAGCAAACATCACAGTCATTAATGCTAAAAAAAATTATGGCTGCAAAAAAGAAAAATAATGTATATTGTAATTTTTTGAGTTTAAGATCATTTTGAAAGTGGCACTAAATTGTACAACTGACAGAATATATTCAAGTGAAACAAACTTGCTACATCGAAGTTTAAGCCATGTACTGTGCAGTGGGCAATTAAATACCACAACTGTTGTGCCCATGTTATTTATCAGAATAAAACATTTGAATTTGTATTTACCTCAGATTACACAAGATTGATACAATGTACAAGATAGAATCCAAAGAAGAATTATGATAACTAACCTAATCTTAAACGTTCAGCGTAGGACGTGGCCTTCTTGGCGGAACCTGGATCACGTGCCACTATGACAGCATTGCGGTAGTCGGGAATCTGAAAGAGAAGGGCAGTTAGTAGTAAGTGGTTGTGATGACCAGGGTGCACTGCACAAGCTATTGGAAGAGAAGATCAATACACAAGATACTGTTAGGAGACTGATAAAGATTCATGCATAATAGAATTGTTGTAGAGGAGATACAAAACATTAACTGGAAGCACAGACTTCAGCTCAAGTGTGAATATAAGTGAGAAGGTATTGATCTAATGCTATGAAAGATTTTGGCAAATTTTACATTGTGATGTATAATGAGGATACAAGAGTATCTAGTGACAGGCCATAAAGCACAGTTCCATTGAAGAATGCAGTTGGCAACACAGCAGTACAAGGCGACACCCAGCACCATGAGTTGTTTGGTATTATTTATTCACATTCTTCCTGTGACTGAAAGGACAGGAGCCTCTACTCTATGTCCAATTAATGAAAATCTTTGATATATGAAAGCTGTAAGAACACCAAAACACTGAGACTACATACATTACTCCTTTACTTACACTCTCTTGAATGTACTGCAGGAGGAAGGGTGAGGCTCGCAGGTTATCCACCGGGCACTCAAAGAATCCTTGAATTTCCTTCTGGTGCAGGTCCATTGTGATGATGTGTGTCAGACCAGCCTTGTCTGTGAAGCAACTATTGTATAAATATTTAATTTAATATCAGAACTCTTGCTCATTACATATTTAGCTGATGTCTGGATTTTATTAAGGTTGAGTGCTATGAACTTTCTATTAACATATAGAAACGGCACGGGTATCCCTCGATTTGTGCAGGGGTTAATACGTTCCTACAAAAACCATGTAAATGAAACTTAAGAGGTACTGTATATGGGGGAAAAATTGGGTTAGAATTCAAAGTTTCCAAAAATCTACTTGATTCCACAAAATGGCTATTTTATTGGTGCTTCTTCAACTCTTAACAGACTGGAAAAGCAGTGGTGGGAAAAGGTGGGAGAATATGACTGAGAGGAATATGAGAGAGAAGAGGCTGCCTAACAATTTCCAGCAAACCTGAATACAACACACTATACTGTAAGGTTTTATGGATGACTGAACACATGGGCAAATATCAGAAGCTTATCCTTAATATACAATGTACATATTCAAACCATTAGAAAAAAGTGAACTGAACCAATTTGAAACATTAGCTTGTGTTCAAGAGCCAAGATAAATGAAACACAGAGAACTCACACATCATCTTGGCTAGCAGCTTTGACACGATGCATCCCCTCTTCCTCATCTTGCTCTGCTTGCAGTATGGAAGGTAGGGAATGACGCCCACAATATTACGCGCTGATGATGTCTTACAAGCGTATGCCATAATGAGCAGCTCCATTATATTGTTGTTTACATCCCTGCACATAGTGAAAGCTTTAGTGTCAAGTATGGAAGATATTATGTCCAGTTTTGTTAGGATGAAATATGCCAAAACAATTGTTTTAGTGTATTAAAACTTTATAAAGATCACTTTACTAACAGATAATATTATATAAAATATAAAATCAGAGATAACAAATATTGATGCTAGTGTCAAGACTTGAGAAATGAGACAATAATGGGCATCAATGATCTGTACAAATCAAGTTTAATTCAACATCCTGATATTAGCCTGAATCTCAACATAATCTTATGAGTACTTTTGTACGTACTGTCTGGAAATACTCACAGATGCAAATCTGAATTATATACTGCTTTCACATTCACACTCTCAAACCAGTCATCAAGATATTATTATTTTGTGTAAATTAACTCAATTATAAATGTGCAACCATTAAACAATAAAGTTTTTGATTGATTGACTAAACCTTCAGAGCAGCCAAAAAAAATACCACACTAAAACTACATCATCTACTTTATCCACACCATCTACTATGCTCCATATTGTTCCAGATACTAAATTTATATCCACCAAATAATTTAGAAATAAAGAAGAGTGGTGGTGCTTCATTAGAATGGATTGTGGTACAATAGAGCCCCTGGAACACCGGGACATATTTGCTGCTGAGCAGTTTGATTATTTGTCCGTATCACAGGACCATCAAGTGAGCTGCATGGCAGCTGAAGTAGAAAACAAGACCTGAAGGTTTGCATCCTGCTCACAACAAGCTGGTCATCAAATAAAAAAGTTAAAAAGTGGGCTATCTCCAGATGCCAATCAGAAACAAGAAGAAAATCTGCACCAGAAAGAGGTGGATCCAAAGTTTGGTGGTCTCTAGTTAAAGAATCTGATGACACAATCTCACCACCAAACTGAGATGTGACTGTAGCAACCAACAACCAGGAAAAATAGTGTAGTAATTAAACAGGATGAAATCCACCACCACCTTATATCACTCAACATAGTTAAGACAGTCTCGACCTGACCTTATCAGGCCGAGACTGGTACACAGTTGTGCTAACCTTCTGGTTTCAACTCGCATTGACCTCTACCAACTCTGCCTAGTTAAAGAAACATGGCCCTCCTTAAGGAAGGCAGATGCAGTTCCAATCCACAAACAAAAGGGCCGTTAAGTAGTCGGTAAGTAACTTTAGACCAGTGTCACTGCTTTCAATTACTTATTGGCAAAATAATCGAGACATTAATCTCACAATAAAGGAAAGCACTTTTTAACTATCATCTGTTACTATGAGGTCAACAACATGGTCTCAGAAAAAGTCATTCTGCTGTTGACCTTTTGCTAAAGCCTCCACTAGGTGGCCTCAGCCACTGGATAACTCCAAGATCAGCTATTCTGTTGCATGGGACATTGCAGGTGCCATGACTGACTATGGCAAATAGGACTGTTAGCAAAGCTTCAAGTACTAGGCATCTCAAGCCCTATCGTGCAACTAACAAAGGATTACATTCAAGAATGAATTCTTACTGGTAGGCCTAAATGAGCAGAATCTGAAAGCAACAATACTGGTACCAGTATATCACAGGGTATTATGCTTGGCCCCCCTTAGTTGTAGAAAGCCTACTTCAGTGATCTTCTACACCTCATCCCTGCAGCTCAGTACCAATCACTCAGTGCCCAACCACTTGGGCTAGACGGTAGAGCGACGGGCTAGACGGTAGAGCGACGGTCTCGCCTCAAGCAGGTTGGCGTTCAATCCCCAACCGTCCAAGTGGTTGGGCATCATCCCTTCCCCACCGTCCCATCCCAAGTCCTTATCTTGACCCCTTCCAAGTGTTATAATAGCTTGAAACTTTACCCTGATAATTCCCTCCCTCCCCCACCATTATTTTTAATTGCAATAAAATATAACACCAATACATTACCATATTTCTTTGATTCTTATTAGGGTTTGTTTTTCATACTTTTCTTTCTCTGAACTAAACACTAATTTAGTATTTTTATGGTTAAGGAATGACAGCCATTTTCTAGTTCACAGTGAATCATCCCTTTAGATGCTCACTTAGTGATACATAAAATGTTTCTATTGTGCAGCACTCACTACAGTATCTGTTTATAAACTTATTTATAAAGTTAACACATTGATTTAGATATCAAATGTTTGGAAATTATTTTTAGTATAATTTAAAAAATAATTAGATAAAGTATGTTAAGTTTGCAAGGTGCCACAGAGTTTATAAATATTTATAGTGCTCAGTTATTTACGGTCATAAATCTTTTTTTCTACGTAAATGAGCACAAATGATTGAGCTATGATGTATCACTACAATAAAAAACAACAAAATTACAGCACTTGAATAATGTACATTCAATAAATTTTGAAAGTTTAGCGTGGGTTGTGTTGCACCGTCATCGACAATAGGCATGGCAATACGTAATTTTTTTTTTCTTTTTATAGTACTGTCCAGAATTCATTATCACTCTGTGAAACCAATAATAGGCTTAATGCATTGACTTTGGTATCCAAACATCCAGAAAAGATTGGGCTCAAAAATAGAATACAAATGTTTAACTAATACAATGTCGATGAGGTGGTGAGGAAATACCATAGATAACCAATATTGGGTGTCCCAGGCATAGCCAAGTTGACAAAAGTTTACATTAAGTGTACACTACATTGCACACCTATTTAACTAAATTTTTTTTGTGTGTGTGTGTGTTCAAATGACTGATCTATATCACTGTAGAGAGAAGGAAACAATTATCTGAATAATGTTCACCCAATAAATGTTGAAAGTGAAGTGCAATTTGTGTGTTGTTCCTTACCGAGCTGTATGGTAGTGTATGCCTCAATGCTCGCTTACTCATCTGGGACGGTACTATATTTAAATAATTTTATGTTAATCTGATACAGAAATGATAGTGAAATAAAGAGATAATGTTAGATCAAATGATGCAATCGTGAATCATGGTAACATGAAGTGTTAACTGCACATCACATTCCATTACATGGCCATCCTGAAATTAATTTCTAGCTAAATTTCTTCACTACCAGAGAGCACAATTCATAAACGTTTAGAGAAAACACACATTGCATTCTAAATAACCTCAAATGAAGCCACATCACCCTATGTCGCTGATGTGTGGCAGCCAACAGGGCATGCAAGAAGCACGAAGGTCTATTTCCATCATCTGAATTAAGAGGATGGATGGTTTAACAGAGGGGACTTGAACAGTGCTGATGAACATCTGAAGCTGAATATAGATTAATGTGTTCAATAATCTTACTTGGGGTCAGCTGTCTGAATGAGGTAAACGCTCTTCTCTCTCACTGACTCCATGATCTCAACACTAGTCTCTCGGTTGGCCATTTCCTTCACCTCAGCTCGCCCTACAGGTACCTCTAGCCGGCTGTAAAGATGCCGCACACACAAAATTAAACAGTTAAGGGCCCATTTAACACAACTGTTGCCAAAAAAAAAAAAGAGAGAAAAAAAAGAGGAAATTCTCAAGGATTTTATTCACATACAATTCAATCAAAATATTTCCAAGAAAGAGCTTAGTCTTCACTAAAGAGCTGGGGCACCATGAATACCTGATTTGATCCACCTAGTGCAGAAATTAACTTATCATTACTGAATATTAGCTCAGATTTGCACCGTTTCCATGTATGTGAATAAAGTACTGAGAGTCAACAAAGAAATGGCAGGCTGGCAAGCCAAGCAACAAATCTGGTTATGTCTTCCAGCCGGACAGGCTCACGATGGAACATCTTGCTTGGTAAAGTCGCAAGAAGATATTTCAGTCAATTAATAATTAAAGGCATGCAAGAGGAGCTGCATGGAGCCAGAATGGTTCCCCAGTGCTGCACGCACAATTAACCAAATCTGACGTGTGGGCTGAAGACACTACCAGGTGGGCAGGAAGATGGCAACATAATAAATATACAAGCACAAACACAGTGGAGCAATGTTCAACACAGATGATAAAAGCCACCATGTTAAATGTGGTACTGTAGCACTCTATACCTGATAATAAAAATTATTAGTAACTGGGAATAAGCAATATACAAACAAGGAAAATAATTATAGCTATCATTGTACCATTACACAAAATCAATAAATCAATATGAAACAATTACTGTAGCTCTAACCCTCATGCATAACAATGCTGTAACTATACTGAACTTTGCATATTACAATAATTAAATTTACAAGTGCAGAGCAAGGCAAAGTAACTATTACTGCTCCACAGCTGGTCAGGAACACTCGAAGCATCTACTGTACAATGATAAATCTTCATAGGTGGTCGACAACTCTCAAAACAAGTACAGTACTGTATTACTATGCCACAGCTGGTCTAGTACCTTTTACATGGCAATTATGGAACCAGTACAGAACTGTAAAGGTATTTAATTATAAAATTATATTATCACACCCTGCTTGCATTTACAAGACAGGCCTTGGTTAAAGGTCCAGGCATGGAACACCCAGACATTCTTGGAATGGGAAACCATATTTATACCTGATGTTATAAATTTGTTACTGTAGTTTAGTTATAACGATCATTGTACATCATAAAATATAAAAGTCTTTTATTACATTAAATTAATATTTTTATAATATCACCATCTCTAGGGAACCACAGAGTTCAATATTTTACACTGACTATGAAGCAGAAGAGGAAACCAGAACCAAAGATCCAAGGACTGGAAGAAATGGAATCAGAGGGATGAGAGGTAACCCAACTCTGCCAAAGGAGATGAGGAAGGTATCTGCTAGCAAGCATTTATGTTGATTTCTAGAAACCCTGAACCCACATCTTCAAGCAGGATAATAGTGGAAAAAGAATGCAGTGAGGGCCACAAACTTCAGATCATGAACTCAGGATTAGATGTGGGGATAACTCAGCTTGACTACCCTCCTGATCAAAAGGCAAAGATGAGCTTAAATGTATGGACTCGGAGTGTGAGGACTTGAGAGGAGGCTGCCCAATCAAGAAGAACAGGATGCCCACAGGCATCATGTGTTCCATGGGTGAATGTAGGAGTGTTTTGGGTGAAGGAGTGGGTTGAGTTTGGGTTGGCGGGAGGCATGATTTGGTAGGGAATAACCCTTGCCTAACTGTGATTACTGGGATTTAATTTTGCTCCTTGGTCCTGCCACTCGACTGTCAATCAACTGGTGTACAAGTTCCCAAGGAAATTGGGCCGTATTATGTCTTAGATTTGAAGCTGTGTATTGAATCTACTTCCACCACTTCACTTTTTTAATGTATTTTATTTGTTCTCTACTATATCACACAAATTTTTTTTTCTAATGTCTATGTGGCTACTTTAGTACTTAATTTCGATTTGCATCCCCTTATTCATATAACACCTATTGCAAATAATCTGTTCTTGTCTGCCCAGGCCATATTATTTGTTGTAGTCATGTCTGCCCTGGAAATTTTTGTTTGTTGTGGTCATGTCTGCCCTGGAAATTTTATTTGTTGTGGTCACATCTTCCCTAATTCTTGTCTTCCAGTGATCTTAAGTTTAATTACTTTGGTATTTTTTCACAACTCATCCCTCTGGGATGGGGGAGATGACTGGTCACTGGTCACCTGTTTATTGATGTTCACTCGGCAGTGCAGTAATTGAGGACCAGGTTGTAAGCCGAATGGTAATTGTATTCCATGAGAAACTGGTAGGATACGGATTAAGATAAAAAACATCGGCACACCTCATCTTTGATCACCTTCTGTGGTTGAGTGCTCAATAACTAATTACATTGTCTGTAGTCGAACACATCTGTCTATGCAAAAGGTAAAAATGTATACGGTATACTGTATCTGATATATTAAGTTATCATTGAAATTTCCTAACATAAAAGCAATTCAATACCATTCTGTGGTTGAGTGCTCAATAACTTGTTACACTGTATGAACTGAAACATGTCTATAGGAACCAATGCTAATCAGCTAATATGCTGATAAGCACTGTAAACAAATAGCCACATCTGCTGAAAGAAGAAGAAAAAACTGTTGAATCTAACTCCACTGCCAGAGGAGAGAATGGACCTGGTGTCTAAGGCCAGCACCGAGCCAAATCTAAGCCCAATGTGGAAGAGGAAGGAGTGGCAACCCCAACAACCATTGGAAACCCCCTCACTAGAAATAAAATGTTCCTCAAACCTAAGAAAGGGGTTAACGAGGTCTTCAGACCTAAAGCCGAGACCTTGGCCACATCTGATATAATGTTGTCCTTGAAACATCAGCTTTCAGACCTATATAAGGCACAGTTGAGTAGACAACAACTAGAGGAGTTTCTTACAAAAAGGTAAGGGCAATTAAAAGACAACAATGGCCAATGCACTGGAGCCCAAGCACCTGTACCAAAATGCAAGAGTTCTCAACCTCGCAGCCATGTTATAAGATACCAAGGAAGGATATTCAAAACACTGGTAATTACACCATGAAGCCAACAAGAAAGAAATGGACATCCTGTACTGAAATTAAGTCACATACACACACAAAAAAGAACATTTTCCTGAATTTACATCTGCAATGCCAGTACAGTACCTACACAGGCGAACCTGGAGGTAGAAAGAGAGGTTTGCTGGCCTCTCCGATAGTGTTGTATAGCTAGTGCTGCCCCCCAAGTGTGGTAAGATGGTGGTGCTTTAGCAATAACTGGCTGTCCAGAACCCAAATTATTGTTTGGAGGGGGATGTTGGAAGGTTTGTTTTTGTTCTTTTGTATGATAGTAAGCTGCTGCTCTGGTGAAAGACTCACAATACTCTCCTCTGTCTTTACTCACCAACTATGACATGACTATTTGAATAGGTACTTGATATGATGGGCCTAAAGTCTCAAGTGAGCCCACCTGGTGCTTGTGGGGTATACCTGGGTATTGCCTCTGTGTGCATCCAGCTACTAAGAAACCTTTTATAAAAAAAGCTTACATGCAATATTTAATCATAATCTATACGGTATATACAAATAAAGGTTTTCACATATAATAATCAACCATTACATGCATCTTCAAAATGCAAGCAACAAATAAATGTTTCTAAGCTAGTCTTAACCCCTATTTATAACAGAGTTGCCACAAGTTTTGAACTATACCTCTGGCAAATCAGGTTTCAATTTTAAGCATAACACTGGTTTGGGTGTGAAGAGGAACACAGGCAGAATAACGAAAATAATTAGTTAAAATGAGAAATTGGTTTCAAGAGCTATGAATCATAACATATTGAATAGGCTATAAAACATACATATGATTAAAACCATAACATGAGCAATTCAATTATACATGGAGATAACACACAGGGATTCAAGAAGGAAATGTTAAATATTAAGGAAAAGTTCCTGTTAAAAATCCACAAAGCTATATACAGTAATGGATCCCTCTAAACAACGCATCAAATTTGACCTTCAAATTTTAGTGGGGAACGCAGCAAAATTTAAGTCGTCGTTTCACTTTTTAAAGTAATTTCCATCAAATTGTATAAATTACATAAATGAATTTCTGTGACAGTTTTTCCGAGGCATCTAGACCTACTGTGAGGGGCACTTGTACTGACAATGAGTCTTCTTTGTGAATGGTTTGACCTCTTGTTACTCAAGTATTTTCAATGGATTTTCTTCCAATATATAATATGTGATTTGAAGGATTTTGTCCAGCAATAGTAGTAAAGGTACATCAGGCAAGTATAAGAGAAACGTCCTTACCATGGATAAGAAGGCCAAGTTATTAGAGAAATGTGATTGTGCCTTGGAAGGCAAGCAGCCGGCCGAGAAGGACGGGACTGTCACTAAGTGCTGTTTCTGATACAAGAAAAAAGCAAAGGAAGCAGATAATACACTGTGAATAAAATGGAGAACAGTGGTAGAAAGAGAAGCAAATAAAACATTGGAATCTTTTAATGATTTATATATCAGTGTAGCCTGGGGCTGGCTGTTAGTGGTGGTGCAATTACAATTTGTAGTTAAAGGAATGGCATCAACCATGTGGGATTGACGACTGCAAAACCAGTTAATACCCAGAATTTTTCAGTGTGAGCCGCCTACACTAACCTTTGCACTACAGGACGCAAAATCAATGTTTATATGTCATTTGTATACAGTATATGAATATGTTGAAGCATGTGCTATATCATTTGTTAAAAGAAAAATGACAAATTTGTGTAAAATAGCCAAAATTTTATTTTCAAAATTCCAGGTTTCACGCAAATCTGGATCAAGTTTAGAATAGGTTCCAGATTTTCTCGGGACTGCTGTATCTGAGTGTATGTATGTAAACACACATGCTTTTAATAGATTTGAAGTGATAAATGAGGCCTAAAACCAACCTAATACAGTGCAAAAATGTTTTGACTAGTGTTTTGGAGAATACAAAAAAATTCAAAATCTTGCATATAACACTGTTTAAACTAGAAATTTAGTATTCCCACACAGGGAAAGCGCTAACGAAGCTTCTCAACAATTGGCTACCATCCACTCGAATGATTGCGATTCACACTTGATCCACATCTGGTACAGCAACAAGTTTCTGGAGTAAGCCATCAATACCACATGTTCAATTCCTAATAAAATATAATCAAAACTGTACTTCTACAACCTTTTCCCCAGCAGAATCCTAAGATGTAGCCATGTGCACTTTTCCAAATGCTCTACCCATTGACTGTCCTCTATCCTAGTTATTGCTCATTTTTTATCCAAGGCCAAAGTGATGCTGAACACTCACAAGATATGCCGAGATAACAGTATACCAGGATGTTGTTTAACACAATCCTAAGAGATATTTTGCTATAAATCTATATAAAAAAAGGCAAATCTATTTGGATAAACATAATTGTATCTACGTGTCCAAAGAATAATAAACAAAAACTTTATTTTATTTATTATTATCCATTTTATCTAGTTACTGTATATGGAAGAGTATTTTCATGATAAGAGTCCTAAATTAAAAAATACAAATATACAGCACAGAGCAATCATTCATTTTTAGTAAACTATGGCTTTATTTCATGTATTGGTGTCAGCTGTCTCAGCTATGAAATACAGTACACTTATTTTCATACACGCTCACCAACCAAAGGTGAACTTAGAGCACACACTCCTCACTCACTTTGTACCAGTCTGTAGAATAAACACATCTCGTCCCCTGACGGAGTCCCCGATTTCCACCATTGTTTCTTGGTTGCTGCTGTGGTATGCAGAAACGTTACCAAAAGGCTTTCCCAGACGACTGAGAAAAAAAAACCACAATTTCTGAGGTAACAATCATTACAATGAGAATATTCCTTGCATCCGTTGATGGTTAAGCCTTGTCACTTCAATTATATTTTACAAGTCTTAGTCATATGATCTAGGTCAAATACAGTAAATGCATTTTAGGAGACACCGAAAATTACCGCTAAACGTGAAAAAAAGGACAGTTCTGACAAGTCTTAACTAATGTAAATGTACATTAGAATATCAACTTTAATAACAATGTTCAGACAAGAAACATGTGAATGCTATATATGTGAGCTTGTAAGTTTACAATGGACCATCCCATATCCCGACATACCAATAGTAGATCACTCTAAATAACGAACCAAATCTATCTATCTATCGGATACCCCCCTTGAAATGTAACGTACCATACTGAAAAAAATCCTGATTCCAGAAGAGGATGCATTGAAATCTAAATAACTGGTTCATCACGTAGGTAATTTCCAATAAATCTAATTTTTTGACTAATCTTGCTCTTTTATTTGAAAATACTGTATTACAATTTTTAAAATAATGCACACTTATTTTCAGAAATGTGTTACTAAGCTTGTGCTGTACTATAAACTGAACAAACAAGCTTATGCGATTTTTGTCATGCCTCCAGTTTCAGTAAGGGCGCACATACATGCATGTTTATTGGCTTCTCTCTTGATATGTAATTTGCGAGTTGAAACAATGTTGTGTGGCAAGAGTAATATGGGTATATATCATACAGAGGTGAACAGAACTGCCTTACCATGGATAATAAGGTCAAGTTATTAAAAACCATGATCATGGCAAGGGAGAAAAGCAGCTGACAGTGAAGTAAAGAATTGGTACTACTACTGTTTCTGACAATAAAAAAAACCAGCGTTGAATGTAATGAAACGCTATTTTCTGGGCGAGTCCTGGAGGCTCCCCGGAGCTATCCATGGCTGATCAGATACCCTAACTATTTTGCATCAGTCGATGTGGATGGAGTTCTAGGCCTACCAGGGACCACGAGCCAGAACCTGGCCCCCTCACAGAGGCACGAGGAGCAATGGCCCATAGAAATGCACATGTGATTTGGAGCATTCTATATCTGCAATCGACCGGGACAGGCACCCAGAAAGGTAAGCGCCACAAAACAAACCCCTATTCTGGTTAACAACGAAAATCGTCAAACAAGTGGACAGAACTCCCCAAAAGAAAACGAGCAAACAAGCATGACATCACACGAGCCGCGCCGTATGTCTTCCCATGATTTATGTTAAGCCTTAGCCTTCTAGATTTTTCCCTGGAAGAAGACCCCACCAATTGCTTTGCAGCCAGGTCTCTAATTACTGCTGGGTGAACAGGGGCAAATAATTTAAGATTGGTGTCCAGTCAATTGTACTTTATAGGGCTTGAACCCAGTCAAAATCACTCATGAGGTGAGAAGACAGAGTGCTACCACTATACCACAGGGACTTCTTATCCATTGTAATGAAATTCATTTTATCCTTGCCTGATGTAACATTATTAATTTCACTGGACAACATGGTTATACCTCATAAATAATGATACTGTATATCCAAAGAAAACTCAATGAAAATACTTGAGTAATGAGAGATCAGACCATGCTAGCACACAAGAAAAAGACACCATACCCTCACAGTACATCTTTGGATGCCATGGGAATAACATCACAAACTTTTCTGTATGTATTATTAGTGCAGTACAGTACACATTTATTCAAATATTTAAAATAATTAGAGATATTTAGTCATACAGTATATATCTAATCAAAATGCATTATTTCAAATAATATTTATAATTAAAAGAGCAAGATAACCAAATGTAAGAATACGATGACGGAAATTATTCCGTGACAACCCAATGGCCAAAGATTTCATCACATTACCCTCCGGTATTCAAATTTGTTTCCAGCATCTGAATTTCAGAGATCCAGTGAACAGATTTGATTATATGGAATTTCCGATTCTGGAGGATCCACTGTACAGTACTGTACAAGAAAGTAAAACATTTCTAAAATAAAAATGCATTTTCCAAATATTTATTAAAAGAGCAAGAATAGTAAAAATGAAAATAATTACAATCTGCTGGATATTACTTTATATTATGAGCTGGAATTCCCTGCTGCTCCCGATGAAATTCAACATTTTCTACGACAAGCCTGATGGATTTGGTTCATTATTTAAAGGAATCTGCTATTTGGAGGTATGGATCTTGGAGGATCCACTGTACTGTGATCACCAAGCAGAGTGGAACTAATGTATGGAAACATGCATATAGGTAGAGGAGAGGGAGGGGGAGGGGGGGGGGAGGAAGGCCAAGAATTACATTCAGTAATACATAGAAGACATTTAAAGTACTGTATATATATTAGAAATTATATAGAGCTAAGTATACCTTTGTTATATACAAGGCAACAGCTCTGCACTGGGGTCAGTTATACACAGGATAAGAGGTAAATAGTGGTCCTCAGTTATATACAGGACAATAGGTAAATTAGTGGCCTCAGTTATACACCACACCCACAGTTAAATTCACCAAAGAACTCAATTATAATTTACCATAATACCTGCAGGTGTGTAAATTATTAAATAATGTTCACAATCCAAAGGCATATAATGAACCCAGTAAATCTTTCAGAACTTGAAGAGATACTAAATTAGGGTAACCTGCATGCAAACTTTTAGCTTGGCCTGTAAGCCCAGCAAGCACTTTAAGACAAACAGAAATTAGGCTGTGAATGACACTGAAATAATTGAGAGTGCAGGGATGGGGGTGCTTACATATGGAAGATGGGGGTGCTTACACATGGAAGATGGTGGGGTGCTTGCACATGGAAGATGGTGGGATGCTTGCACATGGAAGATGGTGGGATGCTTGCACATGGAAGATGGTGGGGTGCTTGCACATGGAAGATGGTGGGGTGCTTGCACATGGAAGATAGTGGGATGCTTGCACATGGAAGATGGTGGGATGCTTGCACATGGAAGATGGTGGGGTGCTTGCACATGGAAGATGGTGGGGTGCTTGCACATGGAAGATGGTGGGGTGCTTGCACATGGAAGATGGTGGGGTGCTTGCACATGGAAGATGGTGGGGTGCTTGCACATGGAAGATGGTGGGGTGCTTGCACATGGAAGATGGTGGGGTGCTTGCACATGGAAGATGGTGGGGTGCTTGCACATGGAAGATGGTGGGGTGCTTGCACATGGAAGATGGTGGGGTGCTTGCACATGGAAGATGGTGGGGTGCTTGCACATGGAAGATGGTGGGGTGCTTGCACATGGAAGATGGTGGGGTGCTTGCACATGGAAGATGGTGGGGTGCTTGCACATGGAAGATGGTGGGGTGCTTGCACATGGAAGATGGTGGGGTGCTTGCACATGGAAGATGGTGGGATGCTTGCACATGGAAGATGATATGCACACCAAATTTCCAAGCTACCGCCTGCCAATAAAGACTACAGATTAACATTTTTTTGATGTTTAGTCAGAAAACCACTGGAGCATTTTATATCTGACAAACACAAAAACAATAAAACTATGAGTACTGTATATTTTTAATTAATTCATGCATAAGGCTTTTTTCTATAGAGCGCAGCTTTCTATTCAACACAACCATCTGCGACATCTCTGAAGCCTCACTCTCTAAAAAGCATTCCATCCTTGTGAGGGTTGCCACATGTACAATCTACCCTCTGACAATTTAAATACCTTAAAAGTGCTTCTTAAACACAAATAAATTTGTATTCAAAACATTTCTAGGAACACTTCACAAAACAAGATTGTCGAAGGTATTCCTCAAAAATTATTTAGGAATAAATGAGTTACTGTAGTCATGGTATATATATATGATACAAAATGGGATTTATATATATTGTACATTAACATCCCTAGAAGAGACAGGTTAAGAATTTTCCAACATCCTAAGAAGAGAGGTAAAGTGAGCTGAAAATAATAATTAAAAAAAAAAATATGCAAATCATGTCAATTGCCAAGATAATAAATTAGCACACACATATGTGTCATGGAATATTGTCCCGTGCTAGGAACAGGAAGCCCATAGCTGATGAGGTCACACCAGCCAACAATATTATAACAGAGAACTTACTACAATACTGTAGTGTTTGAATGAAGGGGAACGATCCAATATATAAGCGTGAATGTGCTGTCTTATTAAACCAAATTTTAGGATGAAACCTACAGCCTTTATCATGGTAATCTCATTGAACAGCACCTTGATAAAGTATGTAGATTTCATCCAAAAGTTTAGTTTAATAGTACTTACACATGTATTGGGTCTTTCTTTCACATTCATTATAACATAACAATTTAATACACCAAATGACTGTGACATGACTACTAACCTTAATCTGTCAACCTTCTTTACATTTACTGTTATAAATATGAAGATGAGTATCGTGTTGTAAGTCTGGTGTGGGATAATATGAAGTTATGTGATTAGATTGGTATGTGACAATATGAAGTTATGTGATTAAATTGGTATGTGACAATACAAATTTGTGCATTTAGTTTGGTATGGGATAATACAAAACTGTGAGATTAGTCTGATGTTGGACGATACAAAGGTATGATGAGTCTGGTGTAAAGCAAAACAAAAGTGATAGGGCAAGAAACCAAAGTACTGATGAATGACAAAGTAGTCCTGAATTAAGTAACAGAAATATCAACTGGGTAGTGCTAACCTCAAGCTTATGATTGATAAATACTTTGTCATGTTAATTTACAGATTTGTCTAAAATTCTATGTAAAATTATAATCACTGTCATGACCTTGGGCAGGCCCCGCAACTTATAACAATCATATATATCTAGCAAAATCGACATTATTTTAAGAAAATGTACTTCAACCTTTTTTACAGAATTAATTTATTTATGTAAGTGGATACAGGTGAAGGCAACATTTGACTATCTGTACTTGTATAGCATTAGATTTTATATAATGTGTAGAGTTCTGCCAATACACGGACACGTTTCTGAAATATGTGATGCTTGTATGAATTATATTTAATACTCCAAAACACCAAAACTGCTGGGTTTTAAAATACAGCTGGAAAAGATCATCAGAGCAAATGGGGAGACTTTTGATCAGCCACTGGCTTCCTGTCCTCATCGAAGCCACTAGTGTTGGTGGCCCTCAGGTAAATATACAAAGTGCTCTGCTGTAACAGTACCCACATCTACTGCACTTTGACCAAAAGGTTAAAACAAATTGTAGCATCTAGTACACACAAATCAAAGGAAGCATCCATTTATTATATAATTTAAAACAAATTAATAAAAACTAAACTAAATAAATAAATAAATATATATATATATATATATATATATATATATATATATATATATATATATATATATATATATATATATATATATATATATATATATATATATATATATATATATATATATATATATATATATATATATATATATATATATATATATATATATATATATATATATATATATATGGAAGATGGTGGGCAAGCTCTATTTGATGTTTTCCAAAACCCACCTAGCTATTAGTTGAGCAAGTTCTGGGTGGGAATTTCCTGCCAGGAGAACCATCTCCTTGTTTCCTCGAGTCGTGTCCATGCTGTGTGTAGCTCACCCTCTGCAAAGATGTAAAAAATGAAGCACCTGATTGTTCAAACATTCATGAAAACTTCAAAACAGCTGCTATATAAAAACAAATTACATACACATGACACATCAAAAATTAGGCTTATATTAATACTGAAAACTGCAAGAAATGTTGGCATAACACATTGGTTCCCAAGCAGGGAAAACTACTATTGGATACCGTAATATATCAATATCAATATAAGAGGAGGATACAGGACCAAGACATCCACCCAGCAATGAGATTGAATCAAGAGTAATGTTCATTGATAGGCAAGGTTGATGTTTTGCGTTATATCTAGTTGTGTTAGGCACGGCAATTAAACAAAGCTATGTGCCTCATCCACCCGATTTCTGGAATGTCTGCCAAATCAAGTCAGTATTACAAAAATAAAATCAAGCCAACTAGCAAAACTAAACTACTTTGCATAATCTGGCAACATCCTATAGGGCAACAGCAAGCCCTCCACCCGACACAGGCTAAGATGAAAGACTGTCTATCAACACCCATAGAGCCAAGACAATAAGGCATCATTGACCCTTCAGGAGAAAGAACTTGACACCCACCAGTGCCCGGGCACACACTGGGATCCTATCAATAGTCTGCACACTTCTTGGCTAAGCCAACGCCGGAGCCCCTCACATTATCCAAAGGGCATGCCTTGAACAATGCATGGAAAATAAACTATAACATCTCTGTAACCCCAGGTAATATATGCATCAGGTGCCATACACAACTGGAAGTTGAAAAACTATGCCTTACTGAAAAATTAGTGATCAACAGATGAAAATCCTTAACATTTTCTGCAGACGTCCAAGTTGAACCACAGTTTTAGGTGGGCGCATCTGATCCCTTGATCCTCGTCGCCCCTAAATCAACAACAACAGTTTTAAACCATACTGCCAGCGGAACAATCACTAGCAACGCATTTATAACATTAAAATTACGAAATTAGCCATCAAATTCACTAGGCAAGCCATGAAACCCTCACAGATGAAGCACTCACCAGCCTCCGACCACCAGCGCCTCTGACACGAACCTTAAACGAAGATAAATGTGAACAATTATGCGTGTCACAGGACACAGCCGCCGCTGCCTGGTGAAGATATAGACGCAGGAACCAAATACACATCAACAAACAGCTGGAGAACGGAAAAGAAGAGCATCTTATTAAGCACTCAAAACGTATCCGTTATAGCAATCATTGCCAATGAAGATTTGGATTCTATTGTAAGATAACACAAGTCTGGATGAAACGGGTTTTTGCGCAGTCAATGGCCAACTACTAATATGATCACGTGGGGTCACTGTGATCCTGACCCCACGTGATCACTGTATATACTGTGGTGCTGGGTGTTGTCAGTCACAGACTCGGGGTCACGAGCGGGGTTTCCATATATTAGGATCAGTTTCTCATAAAAATATATACTTCTGGTACTGTAGATGATTTTTTGTTTGAGATATATACAAGAGATCTTATATTCTTGTACAGCCCCTAGTTCATTCTTATACAGCCACTAGATCTTACATTCTTGTACAGCCGCAGCGTTTCGGCAAGTCCTTGATCCTATGTTCCCTGGAATACGACCCCCACGAAGAATCGAGATGATCATCTCCAATACTCTTCCGATTCATTTCCATCCTCAGTATCTCAATCATACTGCAAAGGGATTTGGGCAAAATATGACCCATAGCCGTTTGCAGTAATTGGCATATTTACGGTATAAAAAGTCGTAATTTGAAAATGAAAATAGGGGCAGAGAGTCAGAATTGGGCTCAAAAATCACGCTCAGGAGTAAAATTTCCGACATTTTAGATATTTTGAAAACTGCAGAGGGATTTGGGCAAAATATGACCCATAGCCGTTTGCAGTAATTGGCATATTTACGGTATAAAAAATCGTAATTTGAAAATGAAAATAGGGGCAGTCAGAATTGGGCTCAAAAATCACGCTCAGGAGTAAAATTTCCGACATTTTAGATACTTTGAAAACTGCAGAGGGATTTGGGCAAAATATGACCCATAGCCGTTTGCAGTAATTGGCATATCTACGGTATAAAAAGTCGTAATTTGAAAATGAAAATAGGTGCAGTGAGTCAGAATTGGGCTCAAAAATTGCGCTCAGGAGTCAAATTTCCGACATTATAGATATTTTGAAAACTGCAGGGGGTTTGGGCAAAATATGACCCATCACCGTATTCATTAATTGGCATATTTTCGGTATAAAAATTCGTAATTAGAAAATGAAAATAGGTGCAGAGAATCGGAATTAGGCTCAAAAATCACGCTCAGGAGTCAAATTTCCGACATTTCAGATAATATGAAAACTGCAGGGGGGTTTGGGCAAAATATGACTCATCGCCGTTTTCAGTAATTAGCATATTTTCGGTATAAAAAGTCGTAATTTAGAAATGAAAATAGGTGCAAAGAGTCCGAAGTTGTCTCAAAAATCACGTTCAGGAGTCAAATTTCCGACATTTCAGGTAATTTGAAAACTGCAGGGGGGTTTGGGCAAAATATGACCCATCGCCGATTTCAGCAATTGACATATTTTCGGTTTAAAAAGTCGTAATTTGAAAATGAAAATAGGTGCAAAATATCTGCAGTGAGTCAGAATTCGGCTCCAAAATAACGCTTATTAGTCAGATTTCTGATATTTCCGATATTTTGAAAACTACAAAGGATGGTAACAGAGTCCATTTCATGTAGTCTCCATCTCATGTTGGCCTCCGAATGCATGATAGAGCTGATAAGTTAGCCAAAGAATCTGCCTTTAAAGGAGCCGTTGAGTGTAACCTTGGATTGTCAATGAGCAATCTGAGAGCAGCAGTACACCGAGAACTTCAACAAGATCTTGTAGATCTGAGGCAAGGTGAAATTGACACCAGTAATTCCATCTATCATCATACTATCATGCAAGAGGAGCCACACATCTATGGATCATCCAATAAAATCAGCAGACTTCTAGATGTTACTATTGCTCGGCTTAGACTCGGTTACAAGTATCTCTGGGAATTCTCATTATCTGCTGATGTAGACCTGACCAAATGTAAACTGTGTCAACAAAATTCTTCGCACACCCTCCGTCACTATGTGATGGAGTGCGAAAAGATACGTGAATTTAGAGACAATTCTATAACCAATGTTCCAGCGTTGTGTAAATATTTCATTCAAAATGATCTGCTACCAGAAATTTTAGCCAAATATTCCCAGTTTGCTAACTGTAGGTAGTAACTGAGTGATTGTAACCTATCCACCGCTGCCCACTGGATGGGGGGCGGTGTGCAGGACAAACATATAAATTTTGACACTAGCTCTCCACATACCTGTATGTCAGTTGCTTAATTTAGAACCTGTACGTGAGGTCGATCTCGAACCCATTGTTGATGTGACGACTTATACTGAATTTTGTAACTAGCTCATCAAGATTGTAACTTGCTTAGCTAAATGAATTGTGGGGTTCAGTCCCTGAGCCCATTATGTGCCTCTGTAACCCTTTCCACTACCGCTCACAAGATGGGTATGGGGTGCATAATAAATGAACTAAACTAACTAAAAAATTGCCCACAAGATGGGTATGGGGTGCATAATAAATGAATTAAACTGAACTGAACTGCAGGGGGAGGGATAAAATGTGACCCGTCGCCCTTTTCACTGATATACATATATTCTCTTAAAAAAAAACTGCAGAGGAGGACAATATATCTTGGATAAGGCGACTCTCAGGGCGAAATGCTAATTGAAATTGAAATAAGTTTATTGAGGTAAAATACACACAAAGGGATGAGGTAGCTCAAACTATTCTCACCCCGTTCAGTACAACGTGTTAATACGTATATAGACACACATCACAAATAATAAACATGCCGAACATTCTGAGATAAACATATACAATTCCTCGAAATGCCAAGCCATTACGACTATATAGCATTGGGAAGGGGTCAAGATATGGATTTGAGGTAGGACGGGGGGGAAGGAATGGTGCCCAACCACTTGGACAGTCGGGAATTGAACGGCGACCTGCATGAAGCGAGTTCAAGTTCAAGTATGTTTATTGAGTTAGTTTAGTTTAGTTCATTTATTATGCACCCCATACCCATCTTGTGGGCGGTAGTGGAAAGGGTTACAAAGGCATATAATGGGCTCAGGGAGAAGATTTACCAACGGGACCAAGGATATATTACAGATATATCGACGACATATTCGGTATAATGCTGGGACCACCGGGGAACCTGGACGTGTTCTATTCATGGGCAAATTCAGTACACCAGAACCTGAGTTTTACGATAGACAGGAGTGAAACGGAACTAAACTTTCTGGACACGACCGTCTACATAAACCCAACAACACGACAATTGGAGACGAAGGCTTTCTACAAACCGACAAATCTCCATACATACTTGCAGTACCACTCCAGCCATCCACAACCACTTAAGAATTCGCTCCCCTACTCCTTGGGCTTGAGACTGAAGAGAATCAACACATGCCCCCACTCCCTGGGGGAACAACTTGAGGACCTGTGGACATTTTTCAGGAACCGGGATTATCCTGAGGAAGTGCTCAACAAAGCAGCGAGGAAGCTGGAACAGAAGATACGGGAGGAACTACTCCAACACACCGGAAAGGGACACCAAGACAGGGACATCTTGGTGACAACCTACTTTGATGGCTTCGAGAAACCCATGAAGCAAGTTATGAAACGACTCTGGACCTGGCTGGAACAGAAGTTTGGAGACCACCCTTCATGGAGGAAGTTTCATAAGAGCCCACCCATGCTAGCCTGGAAGCGAAATAAGTCCCTGAAGGATAAATTGGTCTCGGCGGCATTAAAAAAGACAAGGGAGATCCAAGACACGAGACGGAGCAGCGTGCATTAAAAATACATTAAAAATCAATTAAGGATGCGTGACAGTATCCATGACAATTAAAAACACATTGAGAAAACTGCTCTTGGGGATAAGGTGCACTAGGGGGAACAAAATGGCCACATGACACAAGGTTCAGTCGAGGCCCATCAATTAAAAACCTATGCATATGCCAGCCTCCTCAGTAATGAAGTTGTTCCCTGTTTAGGGACTCCGCCCCTGTAGTGGACATGGTTCCATGGTAAGCCCCCTGAGTCGCCCTATAACATATGCTAATAATAATACACTCTTCTCTCCCCCATTTATCTCATAGGTACAACTTGGGGGACTATTGAGAACTGAGGTACTACACATACACATCAGAAAATTGAGGACGGTGGAGCGACCTACACATAGACCCTCTGCAGTCCTAACCTTGAGAACCTAGGCTAAGCCTTCTGCTACTTATTTCAGACATGCCAGCTTTTACCCCTGTTGGACACCAGAGGAGGGTAGAACACTCACCTGACGAACAACCCTACCTGCAAGGACCGGCAACAACACCCAGGACCCTGGCATCCGCCAGTAACCTAGAATTGTACATGCTTTTTCCTTACAGGTGGTTGAAACGGGGTTTACTCTTTTTGCTGTGTAAAAACCTAGGGACATAAAACCCTAAGTGTACCTCACCAACTGACTGAATAAAAAGGCAAAGTGGATCTAGGCAAAATCACAACCATCAGCGGAGTCTCCTTCGGACTGATGAGTGTGGCTCCCACGGGCTACATGAAACAGCTGTATCCGAGTTTATAGAGCCCGTTGAAATATACGGTAATTTATGAAGTGAAAAAACCGCGGGAAACAAGTTTCAGTTTAGTGATAAAAAGGAACCTTACTCTGTGTGGTGGACAAGACTAAATACTTGGTCAGAACGACAGGAGAAACTACCTATACGCAGTTGTGATTAAGTCTAGATTAACACCGCCGTCCCGCTTTACGTTCTTGTGTTTCAATCTCCCATACTGTGTTATAAAGGAATATCTCCCCCATCACACGGGATATAGAGGACCTACGACGTCACAAACGTTTCACCCAGCGGAAACCTGCCTTCCACACCACAAGGAAACAGTAAGTGCCAAAAAAATAGTAAGGTAAGTCAAGGGGGTCATGAGCAGTCACCCTAGGACTCATAAGTTAAGTAACTCTTTTGTTGCACATTCTGATCCTTGCGGATCAGGATGTGCAACAAAATTATGCTTCTTACCCCTTATTTTATTTACGTCTTGCCAGATTTCCTTCAAGTTTCTGTTACTCCCAACTTTCTCTGCAAACTCCTGCCAATACTTGCTCCTAATTTCCATGAAGCGAGACCGTCGTTCTACCGTCCAGCCCAGCATATATCTTGGATAAGTCGCTCCACAACATTGTGGCTTGGACTCTCGACTTCCTATGGCGTCACCTGCCACATATTTACTCACAATTTCGGTATGAAATTAGATTAAATCTGAGTAAAAATATTTTTGATCGTGTTATGCATTCAGCACCAACATTATAGTGAGTAAATATACTATATATCTTCCTTACCTCCGTAATTCTAACCGGTTTTTGGGTAGCATATTGTGGCTTTTGGTAGCTTAAGAGTAATACTACGGAGTCGGAGAGTGGTGGTTGTTTACCTCCGAGCACAACACAGGAGCAGTGGGTGCTGGCGGTGCTCTGGACAATATTTTTGACCAATTTTTACAAGTTAGTGAGCACTGGTGCCGCTTCCTCCGGGGTCGAAGGTCACAGGACGAGGTTCTACTGGCTGGCACCGCACAGGACCTGGCTGGACATAAGGATATAGAGGAGTAACTTGGCTTGTTGGCTGCGTCAGGTGACCAGCTCCAGCGCTCTGACGAAGTTGATGTGTGTGGAGTTTATAGGTTAGTTTTAACTACACGTGGGACTCATCATAGCCCGTGCTACTTGCCCCGCTCCTGTGCCTGATAAGTTACGGGCTCACCATAGCCTGTGCTACTTGGAACTTAACTTGTTCCGAGTAGCTGAATCTATAACAACAGCAACATATACGTGGGATGGCTTTAGTGTCATTTGACCCGTAATGTAAGATGTAGGTGGTTAAATGGCTGCCTAATAAAGAGTAGGGATATATCGTGTCAATAGCTTTGTGAAGGAAACATTGGATACGTTGTCCCAGGCTGGCTTAGTGCTTTGGCTTTATCTGAGAGCCACTAACATTAGTGGCCATGACGAGGACAGGAAGCCGATGGTTTGTCGAAGGTCCCCCTCCCCATTTGCCTTGATGATCTTTCCAACTGTAATTGTAAAGTTAAGTTTTTTCTATTCTGGTCGTTTCTTATATAAATTCTAGTTTTTCTGAATATTTTTGTATTTTGTAAAAAAATTCTACAGCCAGTAGATAGTATACTTCACATATTCCTAACCTGTCATGTGCTAGATGAACTTTCGTTTCATTTAGTGTGCTATGTGAACTTCTTGCTTATCTGTTTACATAAAGTTGACCTCTGCCTTCCAGCTATTTATTCTGTCATGTTACTTTCTTTGAAGTGGATTCATCAACATCTCTCGGCATACTGCACATGAAGGCTACCCTCGCTGTGTACTAGTGGGTTATTATTTTTCTGACTAGTTTAATTTTTTACCTTTTACACATATCGTCTTGTCCTATTTTCTGTCAATTTTGAAAAGGCTATCCTTATTTATACTGTCTATTCCTTTCAAGATATTGCACGTGGTGATAATATCCTCCCATGTCCTTGTCTTCTTTAGAGATGTTACATTGTGCTCCCTTAACAAGTCTTCATAGCTTAATGATGTTATTGTACCTCATTATGTACTACGAGGTAAAATATTAATAATAATACTGTACCTCATAGTTCTAGGCAGTAACCTTGTTATAAATATCTGGACTTTTTTCAGTCATCTTTTTGAGATTTGCTAGATGTCAATTCTATACAAGTGCTGCCTATCCTAGTCCTATCCTAGGACTCCTAGAATACGAGTTCTAGAAGTCAATGACTCCTCTGCATTGACTTGAGTCTTGAGGGGCACCTCAAGGAGGAGTCAATGCACTCCTGTGCAGTGAAGGACTCCTTCAATGTAAATTACATTCAAGGAGTCCTTGTTTAGGTATTTGAATGTCAGTCTCAGTGTTGCTAGTTTATCATATAGTAGGGATAAATTCGCTGATGTCCGGACACTCATAAAAGTTATTGACGTTCTCAGTGGACTAAAAAATAGTTGTACTGTATTAGGTTCATTCACTCAGGTATGGCTCTGCCACCTTTTGAAAATGAGTTTTGAGGCTGGAGACATGACAAATAAGCTAGATATGGTTAAAAAAAAATTGCAGACCTGTTCACTTGTTAGTCTATTATATTATTGATTAAAATGAAATTTTCACTAGAGAAATTAGCCCATAGGGTGTGGGAAATGCATCCTAGAGGCATCTATGGTTGAAACTTGACTGCAACTAATTGCTGTTGGTCCTGTATAGGTCATTGAATCGAGTTTGTACTTTGTTCAGGTTATAAAGGTTAGGTGTAATGATATTGATATAAAAATGTAATAACATATTGGTGGGGACAATGCTGGAGAATGGTCCTGCTTTGAGGAATTCCATGAATAAATTAGCAAGTACTGTACATCACTAATGTGAGATCTCATTGACATGCTGAATTGTTGACACAAGAACCTTGGATCAGCCCGATTGATCAACATGACAGAGCACATGCTATATTTACTGTTCTAATGCAGTATGTCTGATGTTTCAACCAGTCATGGGATTTGTTAGGAATGTACACGGTTCATTGATAACAAATTGTTCAGCACAGTGGTGGTCTGGTGATTTATAAACAAATTAGATATCTGTAATTGGTTAATGATATTCAGTATCTTTAAGGACTGTGTTAATTTTATACAAGGCTGCATGAATTGTTTTACAAGTAAGAGCATATATTAGTTTGAAGGTACAGCAATTGTGTTGGGTTGAGAACTACACATAGAGTAATTACTATAGCTTATTTGGTTGTTAATGTTTATCAATTATGCTACAGAGCTCTGCCTTTTAATCTTTCATGCATCAAATTTGTTTGCTTCACAATATAATTTCTCTAGTGAGTGGCAGAGTGTATATTGGACTACTGTTGAGCTAAACCTATGAAGCCATATTTCAATTTTTATGTTTTGAATATTTATTTCAGTTTAACTGTAACTTTCATGTTGACCAGACTACACACTAGAAAGTGAAGGGACGACGACGTTTCGGTCCGTCCTGGACCATTCTCAAGTCGATTATGTCACAATCGACTGAGAATGGTCCAGGACGGACCGAAATGTCATCATCCCTTCACTTTCTAGTGTGGTCTGGTCAACATACTTCAGCCACATTATTGTGACTCCTCGTCTGTAACTTTCATGATAGTATCATCTGTGAGTGAGTGTAGCTTAGCCACAAAGTGGCTTATTGTTGGTCATCTTACTTCAGGGGTGAACTACATGAACTAGTAACATGTCAACTAGAGGTAAATTACAACAACCTTTCACTGCTTATGTGATAGCTGGATACAGCATTTATATATATTCAAGTAAATACAGTAAGTTTAATCTTCAACACTTAAGATTTAACATACTACAAACTAGTCTTGCTGTAAAATCAGTGCATCTTTGCAAATTAATGTGGATTATTTATTTTTTAGAAGTAAATGATGGCACCTCCACCAGGGATCAAAAGTACCTTCATAATCCCAACTGATCTGCTTGATGACATTGCAAGGTAAATGGCATCTTCCCTGTGTACATTTAGATTGTATGTTAATTTTAAATATAGTGTGTGTGTATGGTCCACTCTGTACATCTTCACATGTTCATTCCTCTCCCACAAATAACCCTTCAAGCTTATTACTACCCCCAAAATTTTTATTGTACTCTATTAAAGGTGTCTTCTAAAATCACAACAGCTGCAGTATATCTAACTGAATTGGATATCCTTTAAACCTATGATGTGCATCAGTTTTAGTTGAAAAAGTTATTGTTTACACATATACCTCGTTTAACGCTGGGGATGCATTCCTGGAAATGGGAGTTTTAGCTGAATCAATGCAATAAAGGGTTGTTATAGCGTAATTCCTATGGAGATGTGTTATCAATTTTGTAATTATTTATCTAGACCAGTAGTTCTCAAAGTCACAAATTACATTCCTCCCTTAGCAGTTCTCCCAACCCTACCATAATCAAGATTTTTTGTATAAATAATTTGCATCATAAATATAATCCTCCCCAGTTCCTCTTACCCCCCCCCCCCCCCCCAGCCAAATTTCCTTTCCTTAGATTAGAATTTTTTCCCTTCAGTGGACCTCTTTGAGAAGCACTGATCAAGACATATATTAAAGGTTCTTTTGGTTTCTGAAACAACAATACAAATGAGACGTATGATTTTAAATGTACTGTACTGTACATTCTGCAGGTACTATGTTATGCTTCGTATAAAAAGTTACACTTACCACACACACACATATTCATATTATGAACAAGATTGATATGGTTCAAATTGATGACTGTCAAACTTCCCCTCTTATGTACAGTATCATATAAAGGGAGGGAGGGTGAATATGTTAGTGAGAGGAATTAAGTGTGCATGTGAGAGATAGTAATGTGGGGGGGGGGCAGGAATGTGTGTGAAGGGGGCGGACAGGGATGTGTGTGGAGGGGGGGGGTCAGAAATGTGTGCGGGGGACAGGAATTTGTGTGGGGAAGGACAGGAATGATTGGGGGTGGGTGGGAGACAGGAGTGTGGGACTGCAGTGGCATCCAGCTGTTTAGTCGACCAGACTATCAGCAAGGAGGGGCTTGGGAAAACTGATCCTCAAAATTATGTACTTGGCTCAACTCAGCAACTGTGTGAAGAAGTTGTGTATGCATCTGATTAACTGCTTATCCTTGTCTAGTCTGAAACATCTACAGCCCGAATCCCTCTTGCTCACCAGCTAGCTAATGATGGTATTAGATAGGATACAGTAATTGTAATCTTCACTAACATGGACAACATATTTTGTTTTCTTTATTTACAAAAAAGATACATTGAGTTTTGTAATAATTTTAGTGGATACACAAGTATACAGTAAAATGCAGCCATATTGATACAGTACAATGAACAGCAACAATTGAATTAATTTTTATAAGGCATTATGAAATACTATTGGTAGATTATATTAAATTTGTTTTTGTTTAATTTTGCTCCAAAGGGCAACAAGTTCATTAGGTTGACCAGACCACACACTAGAAGGTGAAGGGACGACGACATTTTGGTCCGTCCTGGACCATTCTCAAGTTCATTAGGTAGTGCCACTCATCCTGTGAGAGAACATACTAACATGGCAGCATGTACAACATTCCCCAAAAGGGAAAAAACAATTGGCTGGGTTGTTCATCCTGTCACTTGTCATCAGAAGCAACTGGGACCCACTCAAATGTCTCGAGTGACATTTGAGTGTCACTTGTCACTTGAGATTAAACTCTTACAACCCTCAAGCTTATATTTTTATTACAAGTGCAAAGTGGGAAATAGGAGACTCTTTAAGCATAGTATCTATGACAAAAAATTTCTCTTAGCTCAATGTGGGATTTATTGCAATGCTTTACATGTATTTCTAATGTAGCTTTGGTGGGCACAATCTTCAAGGGCTGGACAAACAATATCCTGCTTTCATACTGAAGATTCTGCAACTTTACTGCTGCTCAGCTGTTGCTTCCATCCCAAATTTCCCTGGGAAATTGTATCTAAACTGAATTCTTGCTTTTATAGATTTTCTCCCTTGTTCAGCTCTTCCTTCAAAATGATTAAATTTGTCAGTTCCATCTGCAGTGTACCAGTGTTGGATTCATTTCATATTTCATCATTACTGAAATAATTTTTTTGTTAATATTTGAGAAAATAGAGCTTTAGCACATCAGCAATGTGTGGGGTGGCGTTAAACGGGGTATGCACGTATTTTCTCTGTTTTGTATCTAAAAATTCCATATCCCTAACATCTAGTTTACCTGTGCTCATAGAAAGGGCAGTCAGTTTGTAGGGATTTGGAGTACAATGGGGACTTGGATGGAGTGTATGCAACACACTGCTACATGGCGCATGGTGTGGAAGATTTGTCCCTTTACAACTTGGTAATATGCTCGTCTCCACATATAGATCACTTACATACTGTGCATTGTTAATTGGTTTTCACATGCTATAGATTACATGTTAAAGATTTTTAATTAATGCAGACAGGAATGTACAAAATAATGTGATAAATCAACTAGCAAGAAGATTTTGAACAGAAATTATGTGAATCTCTTGTCTGCTCTTGACAGGCATTCTGGCTGAGATGATATCGCCCACAGTAACCTGACTATTGAATGTACAGTAATACATAGGGTATGTCATCTTGTATCTAAGGCATTGATTATCAGCAAAAGGGAGCACAGAAGTTTTGCCATGTGGCTGATGGTTTAATACACTTTACTTTGCATGAATTAGTTAGGAATGCTGCTGTTTAGACATTGTGATATGCATTACACTCCAGTCACTTGATTAATTCTTTGTTTTGTTTTGTGTTAAAGTGCTGCTGTCTGCTTTTCTTGAATGATTACTTATGGGTGTTTTCATGAAATCTAATTGATGCTTTACTTGCTAGGGGAGAGAGCATCTTCACTTCACTTTCACTTTTGAGAGCATAGGTTATATAATTAAATGAATGTAGGGTTTGAAGCTAAATTTATAACTTGTACAGAGTTTCCTTCTGTGTTCCACAGCTATCCCCCACTATAAAACATACCTGTACTTGTGACGCCGTGGTTAGGGCAGCCGACTCACAACTGATTTGTCCTAGGTTTGATTCCCAGGCATGGCGAGATATTTGAGTACTGTTTACCTAGCAGTACTGTAATTAAGTACAGGACTTGTGAGCTAAGCAATTGTTGTGGTTTGGCCAAGGGGGACCTTGATAAGCCTAATATGTGTCCTGTCTACATCAGTGAGAAATCATACACATACACACATGAGTATGCAAATTATCATAGGAAAATAATTTGAAATTTGAGTTAGGCATAGTAAAAAAAAATTGGAGAATTATTTAAAAAAATTGATGGATATTGTATCAAATACAAAGGGCCAAGATATTGTGGATTAAATCTTAGGTGAAACAATTGAGAAAAAAGTTGGTAAAATAACTAAATTGCTTAAATAAACATCTAAAATTAATAAAACTTAAACAGTATTTAGAAGTAAAGAAAAAGAAATTATATCAAAGGGGTAAACTTGGACAAGGACGTAGGAAAGTGCATAAAACGAATCTCGGAAGATTCAACGGTGTCAGTACTGTATTGTACGTATAATGGAACACGATGATGAAGGTAGAAGAATGGAAAAGAGCTGACTAGGCTACTCAAGAAAACATTTATGAAGGCAAAATAAATGAAATCTGTACAGTACAATGAAAATAGTTTAACAGTAGATGTTGAAATGCAGTGGAAGAGAAAGTAAACTCCTGGATGCAATACACAAAACATCCCAGCTCACTAACCTGCCAGATATGCAAACACGCAAGACTTTAATATAAAGCATTGAGATCAAATAGTAGATGAGAACAATGATGACATAAGGAGATCTCCATCACACCAGTGAAAATTGTCAGTCCTAACTGAATAGTTGTGGCCATGGTAATAGCAAGACTTGCCTAAGGGAATAGGCAAGTGATACTGCTCAGAAACTATTTTAGAAGGGGTAACAGGGAATAGGCAAGTGATACTGCTCAGAAACTATTTTAAAAGGGGTAACGGAATACTTCACAAATAAAGGGATATTGAGCACTTAGACGATACTATACTATGGTACATATACTATGTACCAGAAATTATAGAAACCTGAGGAAATCCAATACTGTTAGCCTATAGAAGATGCCACACCATGAGAACAGCTCTAATCCTTTCACACACATACATACATACATACATACATACTCTTTATCATCATTATCATGAATTAATAAGATTAACATCAGCACGAAGCATTTGTCTCAAACTTGTGTGGTCCATGCTGTGCCTGTAGAGTTAATAATCTTAACCACCTATGAGAAAGATGGTCATATTGTTGACCTCGTGGCTTGAGCGATCTCAGCAGGGATGTCTTTGGTGTACCGGTGATATATTCTTGATCAATGGTCTGCCCACTGCTCTTTCAGTCCCTTTATTTTTGCACAGCATAATTAAAGATGAAATTGAGCTTCTTTGTTTTGTGTTATGTGATTGTATTCTTTGGTAAATATCTTTTCATGCTACAGTTTATTACAATTTTGTATAATTCTTGCTTTTATTTGCCATGCTTCATTGGTAATTTGCACATGATATGCTACTTATGGGTATATAATACAGGTTCCTCAGGTGCTACCCTTAGATGCTACCCCCAGGTACTATCCCTAGGTACTACCCCCAGGTACTACCCCCAGGTACTATTCTCATGGTTCCAGCTCTTAGTTTAGCTTCAGATAGACAATATTAACATCAGCAATAAAAATGATGGAAAGTTCCTTGGCCTATACTGTACATAGACAAAAGACTCAACTTCAGCACCCACATACAACATGTAATCAAAAAAGTCTCAACAATGGTTGGTATACATTCTAAAATCAGATATTATGTCCCAAACTCTGCTCTCCTCTCATTATAATATGCGTTAATCTATCCCTATCTTACATACAGTATCTGTGCATGGGGTTCAACCACTGCAAACTACCTCAAGGCCATCATCACCCAGCAAAAATCAGCTATCCGAACAATAACAAACTGTTTTCGGATAACACACATTCTCTTGTGCCATTTACATGTACAAAACCTTGTTCCTAATTGCAAATCCTGATCTGAAACTCTTTCTTGACAGATGTAATAGAACCAATAATCACCACACCAGAAATAAATATCTCTTTGATATCCCCAGAGTCAAACTAAATCTGTGTAAACACTCTTTGCAAATAAAGGGACCTAGTCTATGGGACTCACTCCCTAACGAATTAAAAAGCTATCCAACCTATGCCTTATTCAAAATTAAAACCAAAAAATACCTAATTTCATCCTCATAGTTTCCTACCTAATTCTTCAAACTCACACTGTATCTTGTGCTATCCACTCCCCCAATATATTTGCATAAGTCATACAACTTCACCATTGTAATCACTACTATCAACTTACATCATGGTTGTTATGTTGAATGCAAATTTTACTACAATGTACCTATTAATAATCCTCAAATTATACTACAATGTACCTGTTAATAATCCTCAAATTTTACTATAATGTACCTATTAATTTTCTTACAATGTGCCTGTTAAAATCCTTAAATTTTTGCTACAAATTACCTACATCAAATTATCTGTTAGAGTAAGACCTGCTGAAACACTATGCGTGTTAGTGGCTTTTACAAGAATGTAAAAACACCAATCCTATGTACTCTCATAAACCCAATGTACCTTCTTGTATATATATAAATAAATAAATAATAAGTCTAGAGCCTAAATTCCCACCCGAAAGCACTTAATCACATGTTAACATTTATATTTTATTTAATTTATTTTGATTGAGTGACACTAACTGTGGTACGTATATGTAGTGTGTGATCAACCTCAGTTTGAAATGGTGGATTTCTCTGGTGTTTTAATTAATAAATTTGGAACATTATATGTTTTGTGGTTCAGGTCATTTCTCAATCGTAACCTATGTGTTTATTTCTGGCGGAAGCCCAGAAGGTTCCCTGAAGGCAGGGAGTCACCGGGGCTCCTCCAGAAATTTGTTTCATTACATACAGCGCTGAGTTTTTATGAATGTGTTTTGTATGAGTTTGCGTAAACTCTCTCTCTCTTCCTGTAACTTTTTCTGGCACTTCCTGCCACGAATATATGTTTGTTCTTGTCACTCTTGCTCACTCCTCTCTCTTTCTTTCTTTCAATCACTTGCGCCCTCTCTTTTCTTGCTCCTCCTTTACTATTTTCTTGCCACTTCTCTCTCTTTATGCTACTCCCTCCCATGTTCTACCACTCTCACCTTCCCTCTCAACCACTCCTTGCCTATCTGTTTTTCTTCCTGCCTCTTTGTTTCTTCTAGCCAACCTTTTTTTTCCTGTTCTCTCTTTTTTTTTCTTCCTCTAACCTATCACTTTTCTTGTCCCATTTGTCCTCCTTTGATTCCTTGTTTTCCCTTATTTCTTGCCCCTTCCACTTTTCTTGCACCCATCTTCCTTCTTTTCATTGCCGCTTCCTTCCTATCTTGATCAATTCATCCCCCCTCTCTTCCTATCTACCTATTTCATTTTGTCTAGAAGTTGTCACCACACCACTTTCTGCGTGTTGCACTGTGTTTATGTTTGCCAGTCTAAGGATAATTCCTGTGGTTTATGGGCCCCTTTAGCACTCTTATGGTAGATTTTAGAGCCACATGTTATAATGACGGGGTCTACTGATTTCATCACATTACTCAATGCACCAGCTAATACTGTATTCATTACACTACACTGTACTCATTACATTAGACTACTCATAATACTTGTCACTTGTCACTAATCTAAATATTCTCCCCAACAGTCGATTTCTGCTTGATGCTCCAGATTCTGAACTGGGGAATCCCATATCCCTGTGCTTTCTGACAGAGTTGGCTTACTGGTTCTATCTGGACGAGTACGCAGAGGAGGATGACTCGCTCAACAACCTCAAGTTTGATCCATTTGCTCAGCAGCTTTTAAATGTAAGCATGGCCAGCCACATAACCCATAAGCACGGCCAGCCACATAACCCGTTACTTTATTCTGAGCCAGTTTCTCTTGGTTGCTTCCCAAGCCACTGTACACTACACCATTCATATGCCACTTTGTTACTTTGCAATTCGACTTACTATGTAGAGTGGAGAGACAATGGAAAGAGAATTCTAATCTACCACATGGTGACTACTTGTTATTACTTGTTATAAGGTGAAAGAATAGGAAATAATCCATTCAGCATCCCTGCAAATAACCACTTGGCTTAGAAGGAAAACTAATTATTTTACTAACTTTGTATTAGTAATTAACAGCTTCACTGAAAGTCACTAGGTAGCAGCATTAGTTATTACAACAGGGTTGGGGAGGTCAAAGTTCCTCATCATATATTATATTGCCATTCTAGCCTTTTGTATATATGTGTTAAAAAATATTTGGTGTACTGTATCTTATTATACCATTTCATCACCTTTTGGCAGAGAGTTGGCTTCAAACCTCAGACTGGAACCATAGAGGATATGCTGCAGGGGTTCCGTGATTTTAAACATCGGGTGCCAACATATGGCGGCCTCTTGCTCAACCAGGACCTCAGCCAGGTCCTACTGGTGCAGGTATGTTGATGAGTAGGAAAATATGAGAGGTGGCAGAGCCGGGTTTACCCTTGGTTTACTTTTTTTCTGTTTTGATAATTTTCTTCTATCACAGTCTGGCCGAGGATGGAGCAGAACAGAATAAAACGAAACGGCAGTGTGTGGAATAAAGGTGCAGGGAGATAAGAAAATTAGTTCTTGCAGTTCATCTGACTGACTAGTCTAAATTCTATAGGTACAGCAGGTTTATATTCAAAACTAAACACCATACCTAGATTAAATACAACTTGCATTGCAGTGGTCAAAATGCATTATGTCAAATTGGCATTTAGGCTTATTCAACTTCTGTCAGTCTTCACTGTGTACAGCCTTGTTTTCTGGGAGGACCACATCAATAGCTTCCTCAAGTGCTGGTACTACCAAGCCTTAGTGAAAAGTATCAGGTCTCTGAGACCTTCCCTTTCTACCAAGAGCCAGGAACAGAATCTGGCAGATATGTCACACTGGAAACAATCCTAAATGGCTTAGTTTCCTTTCTCGGCATCAGTAAATAGATTTCGCAATGTCTGTAGCACACCAGGTGGAAAAAATACTCTGGAATAGTGAGGAGGGACCTTTGACAAGTCACTAGCTTCCTGTCTATCAAAGCACTCGAGATGTTGGTTCTTGGGTAAATTCAGGTAAAATCCTACCAAATTAGAGTGTGAGCACCACAATCATGCAAGCGATCATTAATGCCACACAAAATGTATATTACGACTGCAAAAGCAGAAAGATCTTAGTGATGAAGAGGAATATCTTGCAAAGTATTTAATATTATGAACTTGAATATTATCCATTAGAAGGAGGAGGATCCAGTTCTGACATGTGGTTCCCATCTTTGAAGAGGAACAAATCACACCTTGCCTGACCCACAGGAAATTGAGATTCAAGAAACCTGTGCAGCACTGAAATGTCTGCACCCCTCCTTCACCAGATAAGAGAAAGGATCACCTAAGGAACATAACTCTACCCCAGGTCAGTGACAAGAGACAGGAGAGATACCATTGAGGAATCACCCCAGAAACATAACTCTACCCCAGGCCAGTGACAAGAGACAGGAGAGGTACCATCGAGGAATCACCACAGAAACATAACTCTACCCCAGGCCAGTGACAAGAGACAGGAGGGGTACCATTGAGGAATCAGGAAATCCTGTTTTGTTGTACTGTATCAAGTTTTGTCTGGTTGCAAATTATTTCTATTCCAACAAGGGTTCTGTTCTAGTGTGATCTGTTCTGTTGCAGTAGCACAATATTTTGATGCCAAATTCACCTACAAAAAGTAAATTTGAAATCAAGAAAATAATGTTTGGTTTAATTTGTTAAAATTTTCAGCCTGTCCAACACAAACTTATTCCATTGATGTCTTCCATTATTTTCTGATGCTACAATTCACTGCAATCTTACTGCCAGAGTGAAAGCCCTCTTTTGCATCTGGACCTCTAGTGGACCCGATACCATTAGAGTGGGACTCAAATATAGTGTAAACGTTTGCTATGTATGCCCTCTTTTATGGCATCTGAATATTGCCATTTCAGGATATATATATATATATATACCATTTTCATAATCAATATCCTTGACAGGGTTTCTGGCACCGTGCTTCATGGGGTTTTCCAAAGGGCAAGATCAATGTTGATGAGGAACCTCATAACTGCGCCATCAGAGAAGTGAGTTTTTGCTGCAGTAATATTATTTCATTCTCTGTAGTGTTATGCGGTATTTTTTGTTTTGATAATCCATTTTAAATGAGGTATATACAAAGCAAGAGGCATATGTCTGGCTGTTTTGGTGAGCTTTTTGGTTAGCGTGAGTCTGGTAAATGTGTGTGTGGCTGGTGTGTGTGTGTGTGTGTGTGTATGAGTCTGGTAAATATATGTCTGACTGGTGTGTGTTTGAGTATGGTTGGTGTTCCTTGTATTCCTCTTATTCTTACTTCATTCTATTCTTACATTCATCCCATTTTTACCTTTCATCCTATTCTTACCTTTCATCTTACTCTTACCTTTTTCTCTTACGTGCTCCTCATCTTTCATTTCTCTTTCTTAACTTATTTATTTGCCCATACCTTCCTATCTTCTATGACACAACTTGATAGTGGTCCAGGGTGGACCGAAACGTCTTCGTTTCTCCATTATCTGATATGTGTGGTTTTGTCATACTATTTTCTCCTATTCCACATTCATAACATTGCATTTATTTATATTAAATTCCATTTTCCAAGTGTTGCTCCATACACTTATTTTGCTCAGGTCATCTTGAAGGGCATGGCAATCATCTGTTTCTTCTTCCCTAGTAGCTTAGCATCATCAGCAAACATGTTCACATAGTTCTGTATTCCTTCTGGTAGATCGTTTTTATAGACAATGAACATTACTGGTGATAGAACTGAACACCGTGGTACTACTGAACTCCACTGGTAACATTTCTCCAGTGTGCTTGGATCCAACGTTCTGACTCTTCTGCTGTTTCCTCTTTTGCTTTTAATATTTAGTTCCTTTGTGTACATCCAGATGTCGTTCAGGTAAGCTTGTTAGCCATCTTCAGGGATGCACCTGAACTGTGGCAGAGCTTTTCATTTGGTAGATTCATCCTCTTTTGATGGCATTCTATGGTTTCATTTTTTGGTTAGGGGAAATATCTCCTCTGAATTTCTTAATTAATTTGGGGTCTCTCCCCTACTGTTAAGCTATCTTATGTTGGAGAGTTGATTCATGGAGTTACTCAAAAATTGGGTGTCGAGTTTATTAAACTTCTAAGTATTCCCTCTGTCACACCATTTTCTACCTTTTAAAGTCCTGATATAACATATTTATGCAGGTGGTTTGGGCTTTAAAGTGAAGGTAGTTGGCACGTCTTAATCTGTTATTCTGCCATCTAGTGGCAGTTGGAGTAGAGATAGAGTTTTTGTTTTCACTCCTTGGTGTCATATCGAGTGGTCTATTTGATGGTGGATTAAACATTTATCTCCCCTCCCCATTTGAGGTGATAAGACCACTTGCAAAGATACTTGTCACCACAGAGCACAAGTTAACAGAGCACGATGAGAATGTCCTTTTCTGGTTCAGGGAGGGACCAAGAGGTCGCTCAGAATGAATTGTTTAATACTCTCATTGTCTTATTTTTATTTTTCTAATTAATAGCTTTTGCTTACCACAGGTACTTGAAGAAACTGGCTATGACATATCTCCACTGATTGACCCAAGTGGGTACTTGGAAACATCTATTGGGGAGCAGTTTGTGCGGCTTTACATCATTCCAGGCGTCTCCACTACTACAGAATTTGTACCACGCACCAAAGGAGAGATCAAGCAACTCAAATGGTTCCCCATCAGCCAGCTGCCATCACATAAGAATGACCGCAACTTTAATAAGGTCAATGGCTCGACTAACATGTTTTACATGGTGATGCCCTTTGTCAAGTGAGTATCTTTATCACTCAGTTGAACCATTTTTGGTAGTTGGTGTAAGGTACGAAATTGATCTCGTACCTTACATTGGGAGAAACCAAAGTTGCTGGTCTGGGGGAGGGCAGGTTGTGGTTTCCCAGTAGTAAGGAATCTAGTTGTACATGTATTAATCAATAACATACAGTGGATCCTCGGTTTTCGAGCGCTCCTGTTTTCAAATTTTTCGGTTCTCGAGCTCAATTCCTTAAAAAAAATTTGACTCGGTACTCGAGTTTGTTGATACACATATGGGCCGACCATGCGCATGGCGCGCTTCAGTTTATCAGTGTCTCCTGCCTGGTGACGACCACGCTTGAATTCTTTGTGAAGAATTTCTTTGTTTATGTGTTTTTTTGGTTTCTGAACATAAAAGTTTTTATTATACTGTATATCAACCCATAGGTTCCAAGAAATTGTGGTAAAGTCCAACCTAAGAAAATAGTTATGAGGATGACGATAGAGGAAAAAACGAGATCATTCATAGTGAGACAATGTGATGTCTCACTACAGACAAGTGTTAAAATGTAGAGATAAACTAGTGTCTATAGACAGATTCTTAGTAAGACAAGCAAGCAGTGAGCCATAACCAGGTCCTAGTGGTATGCCTGCAAAACGTAAGAGAGAGAGTACCCCAGAAATATCATCACTGGTGTTAAAATGGAAGGGAACACCCCTTCAAAACACTAACACCTCTTCTCCTCCCCCTTCCTCACTGTCTCCCATATGCCAACAAGAGTCCTCATTAAAGGTAAGATATACTTGTACATACTGTAGTACAAAATATAAGTACTGTACTGTAGTAGTATAATGTATAAAATGTATTTTTAAGTTAATATTTTTGGGGGAGTGAAACAGATTAATTCAATTTACATTATTTCTTATGGAAAAATTCATTTCAGTTTTCGAACCACCTCTGGGTATGGATTAAATTTGAAAACGGAGGTACCACTGTACTGTGCTTCCATCCTTTCGCACAGATGCAAAATATACTAAGCTATACTTACAAGTAGTTTTAATTAGATAAGAGACAACATAGATCAGTTAGACAAATCCTAAAGGGTTTTTTCAGTTATATCGTACTAAGACTAGGGAAAGGATAGGTCCATTAAAAACTGAGACAGGTCAAATAACAGATAGTGATGAAGAGATGAGTAGTATTTTTAATAAATATTTTGTATCTGTATTTACTAAAGAGAACTTAACAATATGCCTTCAGCCGAACAAGTCTATGTGGGTGGGGACGAGGACAGGTTGACGAGTTTAGCAGTTACCAGGGAGGATGTTCTTAAACAAATAGTAAACTCAACCAAACAAATCCCCAGGGCCGTATGAAGTGTTTGCTAGGGTGCTTAAAGAATGCAAAGAGGAGCTTTGTGACCCACTGTCAACCATATTTAATAATCAATAGAGTCAGGCAGAGTGCCAGAGTTTTGGAAAGTTGCTAATGTGATACCAGTTTTTAAGAAAGGAGATAGATCACTTGCGTCTAACTATCGACCAATTAGCCTAACGTCTATTGTGGGAAAGTTACTCGAATCTATAATAGCAAATAAAATTCGTCTTCATCTTGAAAAACATAAATTAATAATTGAGTCGCAACATGGTTTTATAAATGGCCGTTCATGTTTAACAAATTGTTATCTTTTTATTCTAGCATTGTTGAGGCAGTTGATAGTGGTAAGGATTGCGATGTTGTATACCTTGACTTTAGCAAAGCTTTTGATACAGTGCCACATGAAAGACTGATTAAAAAATAGAGTCTCATGGTATTGGGGTGCTATATTAAGCTGGATTAGGGCATGGCTATACCAAAGGAAACAGAGAGTTAGTATAAATGGAATCAAGTCAGAGTGGGAAAATGTTGTAAGTGGAGTGCCTCAAGGCTCTGTCCTGGGACCTCTGTGTTTATAATATATATAATGATTTAGATTCAGGTTTGAGTAGCAACATTTGCAAATTTGCCGATGATACGAAAATCGGTAGGGAAATTAATTCGGAGGAGGACTCACTATCACTTCAAGTTGATCTAGATAGGGTTTTGAAATGGTCAAGGATTGGCAGATGCAGTTTAATGCTGATAAATGTAAAGTTCTGAGGTTAGGTAATGATGATAGAGTTACAAGATACGAGCTAGATGGTGTTGTGATTGCGAAGTCGGATTGCGAAAGGGATCTGGGAGTTATGATTAGTAAGAATTTAAAACAAAAGGATCAATGCATAAATGTTCGTAATAAGGCAAATCGGACACTTGGATTTATTAATCGCAGCGTTAGTAACAAGACACCTGGTGTGGTTCTCAAGCTATATCTTGCTCTAGTTAGGCCCCATTTAGATTATGCAGTTCAGTTTTGGTCGCCATATTATAGAATGGATATAAATTCACTTGAACGTGTCCAGCGTAGGAACTAAGATTAATTCAATTTACATTATTTCTTATGGAAAAATTCGGGGGGATATTAATAGGGTATAAAAGTATAATAATCTTCACTGCTGTTTACAGCATCCACAGTTGATAAATCTGTCCAGACCTGTGGATTAAGCTAGTCTTCCTTGTTAGCTATCATACAGTAACAATGAACACTTATGTGGATACTTGGATTTCAAATTTCAAGTAGCAATTAACACATTGAAGTAATTAATAATAGAAGTATGCAATATATATATAGGGCTATTTATGTATAGAAAACTGAAAATTACTCTGAAAATAGCTATGAACTTAAAGTTTTGGATTAATGCATGCGAGTAGTAGTCTTTCCACTAAATTTTTGGCATCTAGAAATTTTGTTACATAATGCATTGTAATTTTGCTTAATTTCCTGCTTGCCCATCAGACCGCTCAGAGAATGGCTGGCCAACCGTCAGAGGGCAGCTGTGAATGGAACTGGTAATGGTGCAGGGAGGGAAGGGCGAAGGCGTCACCGCAGTTCCACAACTGCAGCTGACCACAACCAGAGCTACAGCCAGACAAGACATAGCCATTCACCTGCCACAACTTCCGACACTGCCAAACGACCACAGCCTACCCCAGACACCAGCAGAAAGCAACAAAGTACAGCCTTTTCTTCATACATACAGGTTAGTGTATGTAAAGGTAACACAGAAGTAGGCCGGTGAATATATAGGGAGCTAATGACCATCATATGGGTGTACTTTTAATGGTTTCTGAGCTAGATTCCATGGGCACGATATGACCCAGATTACCAAACACGCCGGGCTCTATCGTCCTCCACCTTCACCATGAAAATTATCTTTGCTAATGATCCTGCCATGTGATTTGAGGATGAGAGGCAGTTGAAAATCTCGTCATTAAAGCTCTGTTTATTTCGGTACACTTAAATTTTTGCTGGAATGATACAGTATAGGTATGTCCATAACTTGCATACCTTTTAAAATACCAAATTAATTAAAGACACTTATTCAAACTTCCTTAAAAAGTCACAATGTAGTACAGATAAAAGGAGAATTTTTTCACCCAAAAGATATTAATCATATGGAGTTGCTTACCCGACGAAACCACATATTGCAATACAGCACTGCAGATTAAAATACACCTGGAAACAATCCTCAGGTGTAATGGTGGGACCTTTAACAAGCCATCAGCTTCCCAGCCCTGTTGAGGCCACAAGAAAAGGCGGCCTTTGTTAAACATTCAGGTAACCTCTGCTACTAGTATTCATATTCACAATTCATTGCAGGAGGAAGCAGCAGGTTTTGAGAGATTGCGCATCAACACTGACAGCTCACCTCGCAGAAGAGAGGCTTCCACCAAGGCAAAATCACGCAAATCTTTATTTGGAGGTATGTAGTAATTATGTCTGGGAGGACCCTTGGTAGCTTTATATAACATGTGTTGTGGTGAAGCCAAGTCGTGAGAAGTGTAGAAACCAGTATTACCAACTAAAGCAGTATGCAGGATTCTGAAAGCTGTAAATGCTTAACAAAGATTCTTCATTTATTCCCTGCTTTTGTGCTAGGAAAATGTGATGTAATTGATGTTTACTTAGCAGTAAGTAGAGCACTTTTAGTAAGAAAGATGTGCATTTTTGGACAAGTGCTGATACATTTTAAGGTACATGTATTGATCTTAATCGCATTTACAAAAATTATCCCTATCTATGACCTTCCTTACATCTTCATCTTCCCATGCCTACTGATTGAGGTACAAGTCATATTTGCAGTAGCTGAGGTAGAAACATTTATAACTTAATATGTGGAATCCCAGATGATTAAGTTATTTGGTTGGTTTACAGAACAAGAAGAAAACCCAAAGTTTACCTTCAAGAGTAGAGGGAAGGGCCGCAGCAACAAAACCAACAGAGAGAATCAGCCAGCAAGTAATGGAAACAGCAGTAACGCAATCACATGGGAAACAAAGCCGAACTTCCGCTCATATTCTTGGCAGAGTTTTCACATTAACAAAAAGGAAGTTATGGATGCAGTCGAAAGAGTATGGAGTAGTTCAACACTGGGCTTGTAACTATGATATTGAGCAGTACAATGGATTCACGATTGGGGCTGGCTGTAAATACTTGTCACCGTCAACTTTTGTTGATAAAGTGATAGTGGTAATACTTAATTTTTTAGTTGATTACTGTGCTTTGGGGGGGAATATTGGACCAGATATTTGCATAGCATTCAGAGGCTCCTCTTCAGGATGTCTTGTGTAAGTATTTTATTTTTTACTCCTTTTTTCAATAACTATGAAATTGAATTGAGCAATTATCTCAGTTTTACAGAGCAGCTGGGTGCTTATACATTATAATACTTTATGGATCTCATAAAATTAAAATAAATTACGTTCAGGATCATACCCTCAAAAATATTTAGCAAAAAAATATTATCATTATTGAATATGTCTTTTGTACACTGTATACTAAACCATACAAAATTTCCTGGTCACAAAAGTAACTTACAAAACTACTTTTGTGGACTTATTAAATGGCATTACGTGTATATCACACCGAGAATTGTAATTCTCGGTGTGATATTACACCTTCAAGATTCCTTGGAGGATAAGGCGAATTGAAATGACTTGCTTTACAACGTGTGAAGCACCGTTATTTGGTGAAGATTTTGCCATTCTAGTGTAGATCAGCTAACTGATATTATAGGCTAACAAATATGAAAGTCCTGCTCAGCACTATATAGAATGATGTGGATATAGATATGTTCACATTTATAAAGATTTATGTGCAGGGAAGCAGTTTACAAGCTCACGAGGTGTACACCTTATTAGGTGACTAGGTGAGTACAGTTTATATGTACTGTACCTTAATGTTGATACACAAGAACAATTCATCCACTCATAAGGTATACAATATATACGTACTATACCTTAACATAGATACACAAGAACAGCGTGCCAGCTGAGAGGGTATACAGTATATGCATACTGTGCCTGAACATTCATACACAAGAAAAGTTTACCAGTTCACAAGATATACAGTATACACATACTGTACCTTAACACTGATACACAAGAAGAGTTTACCAGCGCCTGAGGTACACAGTATATACATACTGTACCTTAAAATTGATACAAAAGGAGAACAGTTTACCAGCTCCTGAGGTACACAGTATATACATACTGTACCTTAACATTGATACACATGGAGAACACTTCACCAGCTCAGGAGGTATGGCTAGACATTAAGCTTATACAAGAGGAGGAGCGTTCTGAGAATAATGCTACAATCTGCCCGCCTGTAAATGCTGCTTGTGTATTTACACACACACGTTGATTAACTTAGCGGATGAAGAAATGGAGTTTCTTGGGTGTTGTAGCGATACCTCGTAATTGTTGGCCTCGGTTTCAAAACCATTTATTCCATCTAATTCCAGATAACTAAATAATTGATGCCCAATTATCAAGTGTGTTGTTTGAGATTGAAAAAAATAAGTACACTATAAATGTTTATGACAAGCAGATTGAAAATAATTTGAAAATATATATTTATACTTATGACAATTTTGCTGGTGTGCTACCACTACCACTTCCAAAAAGATCATATAAAACCATGGATTGGTTCGGTATTTTTGCCTTGTGGACAGATGATACAAAGCTATTTTTCCGATATTTTGGTATGGTTGATATATTTGTAAAAAAAATTGGGCAATATATGTATAACCTCAATTCCAAACTTGGGTAAGAAAAAAGCCTGATTTATCTACAGAGGCTAACCTGCTTATAACACTTATGCATCTGCTTCCATTAGTCAACATAAAACATCTAAAAATGGTTCTAGAAAGAGCAATTGTTGAAAGTTATAATACAAATCAATGTTATGAAACCTCTAGGAAGAAATCTCCAGGAATACTATTTAAGACTAATAGATTTTATGCTGTATTTCTGTAGTGGCTTCATAACTTTGATTTGTAATGTAACTTTCAACAATGATTATTACTGAACTTTAAATACCACTCTGGAACTTAATGATCACTGAAACAGAAAGAAAAGCATGGTTTACAATATTGTTGTATATGCATTCTTTAATGGATGCATTTCTAATTGAACACTATGTGTGCGTGTGTGTGTGTCTGTGCGAATTCCATTTATTCATTTCTCTGGCACTGAACAAATATGATTTCTAATGTCTGTGTCCCCCTTCGTTTGTGTGCCACTCATGCCAAATGGTCCAAACTTGTTTGCCCTATCTATTTCCCAAATTGTTTGAATATAGTGATCATGTCTCCTCTGTTCTTCTCTCTTTCACTGATGTGAGGTTTAATTCCTTTAGTCTTCCTCGTAACTCAACTCTTGGCTCTGGAACTAGTTTGGTGGCATACCTCTCACCATTCTCCAGCTCTTTTTTTTTTTTTTTGTTTATCAAGATATAAACTCTATGCTGGTGCTGCATATTCCAAAATTGGTCTGACATGTATGGTATATAAGGTCCTTAAAGATGTTCTGAATTCTGTAGAGTTGATTACAGATCCTTGTTTTCTACTTACTGGATGAGATTTTTATTGCTTTTCCTTTTTTTCTCTCTCTCAACTCTAGTGTATTATTTTTGGGTCTCATTATTGCCTCCATGTTCATTTTTGAATTTGCGTGCCTGTACCTTATCTATGTCTTTCTGGAGGGTCAGAATGGTAGCTCCCTGTTTCTAGCTGAACCTAGATTGCTCCACACATGTAAGTCACATCTGTCCTTGCGAGTCCTTTAATTGTTTACTGGAGATCAGAGGCCAAAACTTGGGCCCCTCATAGGTGCAGGGAGTAAGGGATTCATCAAAGAAACCAAACAAAGTTTCTTTGTTTTACCAAAGAAACAAACCCCCAGAAAGAAAGTGATACAAAAGATAGAACTGCAAGGTTCACAGAAAGTAAACAAAGCAGCAACAATTCAGCAAATAATACACAAAGTAGTTATGTTATACCCCTGCCCTTCCCTAGAAACAGCTGGCCACCACCAGATGGCAGCAGCAGTAGCAGCTCTCCATGTCAACAATCATTAGTTCGTATCAGACATGTCTGACATGCTCTTTGAGTTACCAGCTCTTTACATCCTAGTTATTCCAGATAAGTGTTGGCCATCCTTTGAACTCTCTCCTATGAGGGCCCATTTGCTTGTGAGTTATTTCAGTATTTAGTATTTGCTTCATGTGCATATTTATGAGCCTCGTTTGTTGTGTGAACTTTGGAAACTGCTCAGCTCGAGTTGTATGTGCTTAGAACAGTCCTTTCCTGGCCACTCATTGATGTTGCCCCCTGCAATGACAGTTATTTCCCTGGTGAGTTTGGGTGTTCGTCACATGGAGGGTGGCTTTCTGTGGAGGGTGCCTCACTTTGAGTGGTGCAAGTAAGTAATTATCAAAAAGAAGGCACTAAGCTGGGAAGGCTATGTATCACCATCAAATGTGTAGGATATTCAAAAGGTGCTAAATATCACTAAGAATGCCAATATGAAAACAAAAGTGCATAAGGTGAACAAGATCAAAGGTATCTGATTCACCAAGGATTCTATCAAGAGACAAGTGACCTCTAGGGACAGTCGGGAAGCAAGACATGCATACATCCTTGAAGTCAGGACATTCAACAAGGATATGCATAACTGTAAGAGGGACAATGCAGTCTGGGCAAAAGGAGAATGGCTGCGCTCCATTAAATGCACGTGAGTTAAACGGGAATGGCCAATGAGGAACCTTGGTAGAGTTGTTTTCCACCACCGGTTATGGTAGTAGGAGGAAGGCCACGGGGACACACTACTCGTAAGAGCAACAGAGCATCAGTAACAAGACCAACGACCCTGCAAACTGGCAAGGATTGAGGAATGAATAACCGGGTAGAAGTCGGAATAAGGAACACCTTTACAGGAGATGAGACAGGTGTGGATAGCCTCCTTAGTGGTAGAGTCCGTACGCTCATTTAAAAAAAACACCAATATGACTGGGAACCCAGCAAAACTATAGTCTTGAGCCTGCTGGATATAAGAAACAGTCTAATGTTGAATTTTGACTACCACAGGATGGACTGGATTAAAGGACTACAGAGCCATGAGGGCACTGCGAGTCAACTACAACAACAGAAGAAGATTTACAGCGAGAAAGCAGTTGACGAAGAGCATACAAAATAACAAAGTTCTGGCGTAAAGATGCTAGTCTCTGGAGGCAGGCGACACATATAGGTGTGGTCAGGAGAATCAACAGTTCAATGGTCTTGACTCCTCAGCAAAGCTCTGAGGTTGAGGGCATTCTGGAGTACAGTAGTTGATTATGGGGTGCACTAGGGTTCATGTCTTTGCACATATGGCCACTGATGCTCTTCACAGCTGCATTTCTCCTTTGAGCTGTATATGGTGTGAGTTCATCCAGTGCGCATTCCTAGTGCCTGGGTGTCCTGCTTAGTGTTTACCTTCCAGACAAGCCTTGCAGGTCTTTGGTGTGGATCATCATTGATCATTCCACTGAGCCTGCCCTCAATTCTAGAGGGATGTCCATTGGTTTTGCTGCTTGTTCCTCTCCTTTGCGAGGTGTTTGTGGACTATTACTGACTTGTCTCATGTTTCAGGATGGCATATTTACCCAGTCTTTGTTCGGATGTGGGCCTCGCCTGTGGTTGGTTGAGGCAGGCATCCGTTAGAATTGGATTTTTGGGCAGAGTGCCTTCTTCAGTTTTCGGCTTTTCTATTCACTCATTTTTGGGCATCGCGAAAGGATGCTTCTGGTCGAGAGTTTTTGCAATGGCACTTTCGCAGTTCGTATTTTTGCCAGCACCTGGGGAAGGAAGCGGCAGGGAAAATGGCTCTTTTGCCAGGACCTACAATACAAAGGACTTCAGGGTTCTCTTCCTGTGGATTTTCCACTGAATCCACAGGAAATCTGGAGGCTTCTACTGACACCAGTCCAAATTCTACATATACAGTATAACCCCCATGCACTCAGGTGTAGGCTAAGTAGTTCATCAACCATATGCTCCAGCTTCAAATGCACAAAGAAGTCATGTTAACATGATATATATCAATGAGAATATCAGTTGGAGCACTGAATCCATTTCTTGTGAATTCAGTGGAATCCCAGGTTGTATAACTTATCATGTCATGATACAGGGGGTAAGGTGCATAGCTGGGAGTACCCTGACCACTGGTTTGAGTCGCCTCACTGCTCCAGCTCAATTTTTCATTGATATATATCACGTTATTGTGATTTCTTTGGGTATCTGAAGCTGTAATGTACAGTTGATGAACTACAGTATTTCGCTACACCAGAGTGCATGAGGAACTGTTAAACTTGGACTGGCTTCAGTAGAAGCCTCCAGACTTCCTGTGGATTCAGTAAAATCCCAGGTTATATAACTTACACTATGTTATAATACTGTACAGGGGTAAGGTGAGTGGCTGGCCATACTGATTGCTGGTTCTATTCACCTCAGTGCTCCAATATATATATCACATAAGTGTGATTTCTTTGTGTGCGTGTGTGTTTTCATCATTTTTATATTTCTTTCAAGCATTGGCTTGTTTTATTTTGATTACATTTTTTATTGTTTTCATCTTTTGAGGTGATCTCTGATCTTCAGGCCTCCTTCGAAGAAAAAAGAACCAGATTCGGGTAATTATTTTTGGTAAGTCAATGTGGGGCTCAGAGACTTAGTATGATCTGGTGTAAGATCTTGGCACTACTGAAAAGCCTACCAGAAAGGGGGTGTTTTTTATATTAAATCCTTGATTTTTATATGGTATTTATATATTTCATCTCATTCATTGTCTTTCCTTTAGGTCTTTTTCTGGGGAAGGGGGAGCCCTGTCGGCTCTATCCAGCTGTATCCTCGGAGCTATCCAGGTTGATATGGATATATTAGCTTTTTGGCATCAGTCACTGTGCATGGAGTTCTTGCTTACGAAGGACCACGAGCCAGAACTTGGCCCCCTCAGAGCGGCACGAGGAGCAATGGCCTATAGAAACCCCTGTGTGGGTGGGGGCATTCTATGTCTGCCATCGACCGGGTCTGGCACCCAGAAAGGTAGGTGTCCCAAAACAATCCCCTATTTTTGTGAAACTATTGCTACCGAAAGCCGAACGAGTGGACAGAACCCCCCAAACGAAAATTAGCAAATGAGCATGAAGTCATCACGTTGCCGCGACACTGTCTGTGCAATCCCCCTCCTGATTCCCGGGAGGGGAAAGGGGAAGTCCCAGACCTTCGCACTGGCAATCCAACAGGCAGTTCTTGGCTGATGTGAATCTGGCGAAGAATGAGACTGCTGCTTTCCAGATGGGTCCTTGGGTTGTTGATGCTTGGTTGGTCAGGCCGGAGGTGCATCATGTGTTGTGTCCGGTTGTGGCTCCCCACCATTAATTGCAAGCCATGGCTTCGGTGGCCAGGGATGCGCTTTGGGTTGACCCGGTTTTCCCTCCTTCCCTGTTCCCGGGCTTGGGTCTCTCAGGTCGTCTGCAGGGTTATTAAGTCTAGCCATCCTGTGGTCTATCCTCGTGCCCACGATGTTCGTAAGTTTGCTGCTTTGGCTGCTGTCTTTGGCAACATGTCATGGGTTGACATACGGTCATGGGGTTTTTGGAGGTCGAACAGAGTCCTGGTCGCTCGCTACCTTGTCATTCTCCCTGGACCTAGTAGGGCCTCGTTGCATTGGGTCGGCAGTTGCAGCCGACCTTCTACCCGGAGTCTAGACTTCGGGTTAAGGAGTGAGTACTGACCGCCCCCAGGTAAGTCCGTGTTTTTCCTTGTCTTTGGGTAGTTAGTTCTGGGGAGCTGATGCCCCCCACCCCCAGAAAACCAGCATTGAATGTAATGAAACGCCATTTTCTGGGCGAGTCATGAAGGCTCCCCGGCATCCCTCCCTCTGGTCGGCAGTGTTTTTCACGTGTTTTTGACATCCAGCCTAAGAACTGCTGGTTAGATCGCCGGTGCGAGGGTCTGGGGCTCCCCCTTCCCCTCCTGGGGAGGGGGGTTGCACAGACAGTGGCGCGGCAACGTGATGATGTCATGCTCGTTTGCTAATTTTCGTTTTGGGAATGCTGTCCACTTGTTCGGCTTTCAGTAGCAATAGTTTCACCAGAATTGGGGTTTGTTTTGGGGGTGCCAGACCCCGGTCGATGGCAGACATAGAATGCTCCCAACCACACGGAGGGGGTTCTATAAGCCATTGCTCCTCATGCCTCTCTGAGGGGGGCCAGGTTCTGGCTCATGGTACCCGGTAGGCAAGAACTCCATGCACAGTAACTGATGCCAGAAAGCTACTATATCCATATCAGCCTGGATAGCTTCGGGGAGCCTCTGGAACTCGCCCAGAAAATGGCTTTTCATTACATTCAACGCCATTTTTTTTTTTTCACTCTAAGAATATCTATTGACCTTCCAGTCTTACTTCCTTCTTGACCAGTTATTCAACCTGTTCTCTTTCAACTCAACGATGCAGATGAACACTATGATGCATTGACCACTAGCTTTCAGAGGCACCTTATATTTTCTCTCGATATTTACCACACTCAAGATGAATACAAGGTCGAGCATTGATGGTTTATCCTCTGCCCACCTTGTTGGCTGCATTGTGCATTACTGTACGTAGTACAGTACCTAGAGTATCACCCGCTCTTTTAATATATTCTGTCTGTTTAATACTATGTTTGCAAAAGATAAATTTGTTTGTACATTTTTCAACATCTTTTGTCATAATTTGAATATGACATCTCATTCTTGATGTTTGTAGCTTTTACAAGTTTCTCCTTTTCAAGTTACTCGATTCTTTTCACAATGTCATACATACAGTGTATGACTCTGTATGACTCAGTGTATGACAGTCTTTCAACTGTAGATATGATAGAGCCCAGTAGGCTCAGGAACCTGTACACCAGTTGATTGATAGTTGAGAGGCGGGACCAAAGAGCCAGAGCTCAACCCCCGCAAGCACAATTTGGTGAGTACAGTAGTGATTGTGTTATCTCTGTCTATTCTAATGTCCATTTTTTCTGAGAGCTATTTAGTAAAACACATTTTTATTTTGTATTCTAGTTAAGGTTTTAGACATGTACACCATATAACTGTGACATGTTCTCATTTAAGCCTGTTCTATCAAACGTGTTTTATCGCACATTTTGCAGGTTGAATGTGATGTGATTTAATTTATTTTGCACTCCGTTATGTATCATTTGTCCACATTGAATTTAATTTTCCATGTTATGCTCGTTAAGTTTATTTTCTTTAGATAATTTTGAAGGCCATGACAGTCATAGTACATATTCACTTTCACTCCCTTCACTGTTTCATTTGTTCATCTCCATGCAGTGAATGAGATTGATTGCATTACATTTTATTGTTTAAATGTGTTGTCTGAATACATAAATATTATTGAGAGACAATCCACGTACAATATCCCATTAGTGTAAAAATATTTGTTATTCAGAAGTTATTGAGTAGGCCCTGGCATAGTGAAAGGCATGTGTTTGAGTCTCGTGCTGTACAAACTTAATGATACTGTATATGGCAAAAAATAAGGATGCATTTCTGTTACCACCCAAAGGTCCCCTTTTTTCCTAGACTTATATCTCGATAAAACACGTGCCAGAACATTATTACTAAGCACTCTTGCCATATTCTAGCCAGAGAAATATGCTGTAGCGTATTTTTGTATACCCATTACTGATGTAGATGGTCACAAACATTATCTGTTGTTTCTTCATGATATCTTGGGGAGTGGGTGCAGCAAGAGTTGCAGATCACTTGGGGGAAGGGTTATTGATAAAAGAATATAATCTAAAAAGGGGTGTAAAACTCCAAAAAAATCCCATTTGAGATATGTCATAATGCAATGGTGTACTGTACTGTTTTTTGTTATTTAACTACATATTATAGGGTTTGCACTCGAATGACATTATCATCACTTGGTTAACAACTTGATTTTGTGCATGTGTGTACAGCAGTAACCTCTAAACCAATAGTAATTTTCCCCCATGTTCCTATTGGTAACTTCCCAATTTTTTTTGTGTGTACTTTTTCACTAATGTGTGCTTGCTGAGGCAAGTCTTACTTTTCATGCTTATTGTAAGCAAGAAGTGGTCCCTTTTGTGTGATAGCTGCCAAAATATCAAATATAAATCTTGTAAGATGTTGGGTGCTTCTTAAAAATGTTTTGAACAATTAGTCAGACTGTTTGGAATGAGAAGTTTTATTAGGAACAAAATGTGGAAGATATAAGAAGAAAAAAAAAAAAGTTTATCAAGTCATTATCTGGTGAAGAAAACTTAATTTAGAAGTATGATATTGAATTGCATTATCACCATTTATCAACATTCATATTTATCTTTAATTATACTTCTGTGTCTCGACGACACTAAGAGGCGTCATCTGTACTCTTGACAATAAATGTTCTCAGGACACTAAATCATGACATCTGATTGCTATTTAGAAACATCCATATATTCATTGCTGTCATGCATAAGCTGTTATAGATACACTTTTGTTTTTGCATCTTTTCTCTAGAGAATTTTTTTTCAAACATTTTCACATTAAATTTATAGTTACAACCCAAGAAATAATTTAGAAAACATTAAGTGATTTAAAACATTTTTCACATTGCTGAGCGAGGTGCCCAGGGAGCCCAGAACATTTATGGTCGAGAGTGCACAGAGAGGTCGAAGCGCCAGTGCTTCTAAATGGGCAAAGTATCTCCCATTCAATAAATTGGTGAAAGATTTCACTATGTAATCTTGTAGACCTCACCCAGTCGTTCTATCTCTAGCTATGATTCACAGACAAATATTTAGATGTGGATACCTGAAGATCTAGTGTGACAAATGCACTAGAAAACCTGCTAAGAATCATATTTTTTACCAAACCTTTATTGTCAGCATGAGCTATATTTAATTGGCTTAGCTAAAATTTAAATGTTTTCTTCATGCTACTTTTGATAGCTATTGAACATATTTTTGTGAATACTTTAGCTGCTATTGAATAACCATAATACTTTGTTTAACATAATGCAGTACAGTACTATATATTCTGATCTCAACTTTCAATTTTGTCTAGGGTGTACATGTTCTTCAAGCTATCTGTAGCCGAATTCAAGTTAATTTAGTTATTGTGGATGTTCAGATTATATTGTAAAGTTTATATTAATAATTTGTTAAATATTGAAAATATGGTTTTATAATGTACATTTATGGGTAGAAGTGCAACCCTATGTGGCTACCGTGGGGAGGTTCCAAGAATCAACAGCCCTTTGTAAATGTTCTCAGGACCCTAAATCATGACATCTGATTGCTGTTTAGAAACATTCATATATTCATGGCTGTCATGCATAATCTGGATTATTTACAGATAATAAATTTATCTGTAAATAATACAGATAATTATTCTTGGTTGGTCGTCTGGTCAACCAGGTCTCCCGGTTGGTGGTCTGATCAACCAGGCTTCCTGGTTGGTCGTCTGGTCAGCCAGTCCCCACAGTTGGTTGTCCGATCAACCAGGCCTTCTGGTTGATCGTCTGGTCAAGCAGGCCTCCTGGTTGGTTGTTTGATCAACCAAACCTCCCATTTGATCAATTAGGCTGTTGGACGCGGCTGCTTGCAGCACGACGTATGAATCACAGCCTGGTTGATCAGATATTCTCTGGAGGCATTTGTCCTCCTCCTGTGTGCTTTGTTGGAAAACATCGTATAATGAATTATGTTAAATGTGGGTCTATAAGTTATGAGACAAGCATTCAGATTTTGTATGCAAGATTTTTTTTATTTTTTTTTTATTAAAAATGTATCAAAATCCCAGTGACTAAGATAGGTGTAGTACTGTACATGGATGACCATGTAGCACCAAAGATACATTAGCACATTGGTGATTAATTAAAAGGTGTATTACAAGAAAAACTCACCTTCCATCAAAAACTAATTTAAATCATTACAATTTCCAGAT